TTTGAGCAAAAATATAAACAAAAATTTGATTGGTCACTGAGACAGCATGAACTCATATACTTTTTCTATTTCATACATTTTTGTGCCTATTTTCGTGTTTTTTGCATAACAAAAAAAAATAGATAACCTAAAGTGTGAAGTGAATATTTGCCCGAATAAATGACACAAGGGCTGTGCCTAATGCGTTCGATATTCTGTTTCAATTCGCCTCGAATGCCATGATTCATTGAGTATATATCATATTTCTACAGTTCCTTGAGTATTCTCAATCAAACTGTTTCCATCTAAAATGACAAACTGATTTGAAATTTATTACTTGCAATTGGATTAAATTTCTCAGGGAATAATCGGAAATCTGACGTTTTGTGTCGGTCGTAGCGATCACACTCAAACCCTAAATACAAATCTTGGTCTTTCGAATAATCAAAGTGGTGAATATGTAAATATGTAGCTTTTTTTATATAGACTTTGATATGCTGTCTCAAATTCCATTCGGGTCTTGTGCATCAGAAAGTACGTCAAAAGTAATTTACTATCATCTGAACGAAAAAACAGCTTGCACACTTGGAGATGTAAGACTTCCATCATGCAAAAGTGATGGCCACACATCGACCAGTATGTATATTGCTTAATAACAATTTTTTTCTCTGCAGACAACGTAATTTTATACCATTATCGATTTGAATGTGTTAACAGCAAAAGTAGCAAGAGACACTTTCATTCTTCCCATTTCAAAGAATCTCCTGAGCGCATGCTTTTAGCTTATATTTCTTAAGAAATTTGAAGTAAGTGCTTAAGCAAGTGGAATAACTCTTGCAAAAATGCAACATTTTTTTTACCGTAAGATCGGAGAGAAGTAAAAAAATATCTTCACATAAATATCTTGCTCCTTTCGTAGTGTGAATAGTAAGGTTTTTTTGTATGTAAGAAAATTTTGTTTATTGGATCACCTTCGTTTATGCTCCCAGTGGTTATGCTTATCCATATTTGCTCATTAGTGGCAAGATATTATGCCCATTTAATTTCCATATGATCAATTCACGCATCGAATAGCATCGTTCAAGGATCTTCTCAGTGTATATTGGTTCGAACCACAAGTATAAGTATATCAAGTTCCCTATACTACTAAAATATATTTGGATCAATGATCGCAATGCTAAATAAAAGAAAAACATAAAATCTTTTCATCATAGTGTATGTTATTAATGGCAGATTGCAGCCTACCCCCTCTAGTTATACTAACTTCTTTCTAGTTCACTCCAAGTAATAGCGAATAACAATAATTCATGCATATACATACGAACACTCCACTCTCACACGCATATATGCAGGAAAGTGGCATTCATTTGCTTTGTTTGTTTTTTTTCCTTGTTTCTTTAAAAAAAAAAAACATCACAACCGATCTGAGTATGATTTGACTGTGCAACGAATGAGAAGATTCAAATCGCCGTAATGACGACGCAGCATCTGAAGGATGAAATGATGAGTAGCACTTTGCCACAAAGCTAGTACAATATAATATGTACAAGAATAATTGCGTTCATCCCCATAAAGTATTTTTCATTCAGTAATAGATAAAAACAACACATCATTTGAAAAGTATGGAAGAAAAAGTCATAGTTTTACATAATGTCGACTTTATTCCAATACAGGAAAATATGGCGTTGAAACCCACTGAAATATTACTATAAATTAAGAAAAAAAAATTAATTTCAGGATACAAAATATCAAAATACTTGCGTCCAATGAATTTGAAGTTCACAGGTTAAGTTTCGCTCTTAACCCATTTCTGCCCCGGAGTTACATTCACGCAATACATAAATTGATATTATCATCTTCTATCGGCTGGAAATCGAAGTTGAAGAGTACCTAAGTTCTCTAAAGAGATTCTCATTATATCGGTTACGAACTCAATCTTCTTTTCTAAGATGTTCTCTACATTAACCATGTACAGTGATACTCAAAAATTAAAAGGAGTTTGTAAATCCACTGTATCACACCTATATTTTCCACTTGATCATATTATTGAACAAATCTTTCAAGCTTAGTTCTATATTGGACCACCCCCTCCCCCCAGCGTGACTGAGCTATGATATATGATTAATAGGAAAAATATTGCGCTTGCTGTACACATCCACATAATACAGAGTTATTTGCCCTTTGTTCAAATCCGCTTCTCTTCTTTTAACATTTTGTTCCATTCCCACTCCTGTTCCCTCACGTTCTCTCTTTCTCTCTCTCTCTCTCTCTCTCTCTCTCTCTCTCTCTCTCTCTCTCTCTCTCCTCCTTTCGTTATTGATATCATTCTTTCAAGATTTTTTGTTTCCATCTTTTTTTCACACATTAGCACCTTTTGCAAAGGACATTTGCACGATCCCGTATATCCATTGAATCTGAAATGGCAGCGCTTTTCCTCCATTTCATTCCCCTCATCGAAATATAATAATTTTGTGTTTCGCTTCACAATCGCTATTCAATGAAAGTAAACTGAATGTGAGATTATGTTTCTTTAATGATGAAAAGAAAGAGCTGCGAGTGCATTTGAGAAGATCTGACTACAAAAACGCGCAAATTCAGTGCCGTTCATTTGTGTAATACAATAAATGCATTTCAATGACTATGCGCTTCATATTATTCAGACTTCGAAAAAAGCGGTGTGTGAAGAAGAAGAAGAAGAAGAAACTTTTGCCTCTATGCGTTGAATCAACTCAAGCAGGGATGTAGCTGCAATTTCGTAATCTTTGTCAACCATTTTGCATTGTTCACATTTCAAAACGGCATTATTTCACACTACAATTAAGCGTGTCGATTTTAGATTTCACCCAGTTTTTTGCATTTGTATGTGATGAACCTCTATCTTTTCCTTGCAAAATTGATGGGCAGGACCATTGGAAGTATATATGCAGGCATTTCTATGAATTTTAAATGCTAGAGCATGCGAACGTTGTATAATATTGAGTCTTCAATTAACGAGATGAATCATTTTTGGAAAGCATTGCATAAAAGTTGATGGAGAGCCCTTGATATCAAATTTCTATCTCATCTTCTCAGTTCACGTACCGACATCTTGTCCAGTTCTGTGCGTTTCGGTTCCGATGTAGGCAAGATAATGGCGAACTTATTAAATGTCGCGCCGGTTAAATCACTGCTCTTATCGAAATTAATTTGAATGCATGATGTGTATGTTCCGAACATGATACACGGCGGCCCAGAACAGTCACGGTGTTTTCAAATCAGAGTAAGAATACGATTTCATATATTCAGAAAAATAATTAAATATTAACATTGTTGTCGTGCGCGAACGCCATGGCAAATTCGTCCCATTAACGTGTACAAGCCGGGAAAATTTACCTTTGATTCCATTTTATTTTCATTTATTTTTCTTTTTCATTCTTACCATCATACTATTTGCTTCGGTTTACGCCGTTAAGCACTTTGGTATGGCAACGAGCTCTGTATTACTATTATGTCCGCTCATTCGTGGTCGCGCATGGAATTTTTCTACCTACAAATCGAAAACGTAGAAAATGAGTAAAATTACCGTTCATTGCTCACCTCTTGAGGCAAACCAAATTAAAAGGGGTCGCCTATGCGTTACTCAGTTTGGCGAGATTGTCGCCATAGACACAGGCACACAATTACGAAACCCAATCGAAACCCAAACCGTACTCCTTCTTCTTCAGCGCCCGAACCATTTTCGATGTAAGTACGAAAAGGTGGAAATATTGTGATTTTTGAGTGAATAAGGAAAAATTTTGTACAATAGATTTGGCAGAGGTCATTGAATCATTGTAAAACGGTTCATTTTATGTCTTCATTTCCGATCCTTTGGTTAATATGCATGCCTTTCGATAGTGTTGGCCTCGAACGTTCATTCGTTCGACTTGATTTTAAAAAATTATTTTGTTCCTTTTTGTTCGAGCGAATGCACGAACAAAACCATTTTTTCTTTCAATCGTATCGAAAACTACCTTGTGACTTCACCTTAAGTAAAAATACAGTTGAGATTATATGCTCAGAATGCACTTTTTGAGTAATAATTGTATCTTTACGCCGAAAATATGCCGTTCAAGCAAAATGGAATGAGTATATTTTTGGAATTGTTTGAATGTGGGCTTGTTTGTTCAAACTGCGAGTCTGACTTAAAAGACAGTCAGATAGTTTACACTTTACATCTTTTGGAATCTTCCAATCGCTAGTCGTCAAAACACAGCAAATTCAATACGACGTTAACAGTACGCATTTTATTTTATATTTAAAGCAATTTACAATTTAAAAATGTATGATTCATGTCCGTTTTCCTCTTCATTTCTTTAAGAAATGACCAAACGATTAGGAAATTGTTTCCTCTTGTTCAATTCATGAAGAAATACAGGGGAAAAAGTAAGGGCGTAACTCAATTTGTCCAACTCTTGTTGCCGCCTTCAATTTCTTATTTTCGAATTATGGCTTTAAAGAGAAAAAAATGTCTGGAAATCGATTGCATATTTGATGTAAATGCTAGTGTAAGTGGTTGTCAGACATTGCCTTGAAACTGATAAGCTATGAATCGAATGGACGACTTTATTTCATAGCTCTCATATAGATTATAGGGCGTCGTTGTTTCATTTGATACATTTAACCTGTGATTTAGTAGGAATGTACTTTTCTATGTTCGTGGCTTGCATGAAATGTGTTTTATTTTTGGTCAATTATTATCGTACACAATTCAAGTGGATCACAATTCCAACTAAACCATGAATATTTGAAAAGTAATGTACTCAAAGTGTACAAACATAGCCAACGTGCACAATGAATCGATGATTTAACTAGATCGATAGATTTGTAGAAATTCTCACATCATTAAAAACAACATTTTCTTCGTAATTATAAAATTGTCATGAATCGCTCTCATTTTGTCAAATGTCTAAAATCGTTATTGTAAGACTATCCCTGTGATTAATAACTTTTGATTGGAATCAGTTGGTAATTTGGTGTATAATTTTTTTCTCTTCTTACAGATTGTTATTGGTTAAAATCAACATGAGAACGACAAGGAAACAACGTTTGATTGGGCTACCAGGACTGAAGGCGACATCATGTTTAACGGTTGTTCTACTCATTTTTCTAGAAACTGTACTGCTATCAACCGTATCGAATTGTGCCAAAACATTTTTCATGCATTGGAATACATCGAACAGCATGTAAGTAGACGATATGTTATTTACAGCAAAGTAGGAAACAAATGCAAAAAAGAAGAAGCCATCAGTTTTAGAACACCTCCGTATAAATTTTTGCGATATATTTTAAAATAAAAATAGGTGCAAAAAATTATCAATCACTTATTCCCCACCCAACGATCACCAGTCGAATCTTAATGGATATGAAATTTTCGTTTTTAAAATTTCATTAACTATACAATATACATACATAATATATATCTTAATTTTTATTCGGCAATCGAAGGTTTTACATATAGAATATATGCTAATGATTATAAATGCGAAATATCGACAAACAACAGTCAAAAGAACAATTCAACAGGAAAATAAAAGACAACACACAATGATCAAAACCACAACTCATCAGATTAATCCGAATCCAAAACAGTCAACAATCTCAAATGAAAGAAAAAAATCTTCGACATACTTGTATACCTATTTTTGAGCGTTGAACCACATTCATAGTTAAAGAGGCGAAAGGGAATTGAACAAAAAACTAACAATATATCACACACCGAACAAATATTTCTCATTTATCGTAAGATTGAAAATACTTTTATTCATTTTTTTTATTGTTGGTTTGAACGATGTTGCTCAACAATGTTTTTTGACCATATAGCTTTCACAAGTAAAGCAGAAATAAACCTAAGTGTTTACAAAACTATAATTTGAATCCAACTTTCGATGGGTCTTTGTGTCTATACGATCGAATTTTTGTGCGAAGCAATCAATGGTAAAGAATACGATCTTGAAAATGAAAACAAAATTCGACCAAAGACTCAAAAATTAAGTTCCTGAAGAGATTCTACCAAGTCTTTAGAATGTCAAAGTATATTTAATTGAATAACATATTTATAATTTAGCATATATGAACCGCTGAGAATAAGTTGCAGGAATTATCGCAATGAAAAAGTGAAAATTGAGTATGTTTACCAAAAAAATGGAACCTGAGTCCATATTGTTGTTTTAATTACGGCTTAAAAAATCGAAGTTCGACAGCAAAAATATTTATATTTTCGTTCAGGCAGTTCAAAGTGTTTTGCCACAAAATATGTTCATATAATATTCTCAAAGTATAGCAACAAAACAAATGATCGAACATCGAATCGTATCCAAAAGCGATGGTGATAGAAGCGATAGATGGAAGTTTAAAAGTAGAATGGTGAACAATGCTGAAAAAGAGCATACGAAAAAAAATTCCGAAAGAATGGGCAAAAGCAATTCAAATAAAAGAGAAGGAAAAAAACTGCACACAATTGCAAGTGATCTGTACGAATACCTGAAATACATAGACATATAATAATCGAATTGAAACAAAGATTCTGTGTGTACTTCGTTGAAACACGAAGAGGTAGAAAAACACGTTATACAATATGTTATAAGCATGAAGAGCTATGTGAATGTGAATTTCTTTATTTTTTTATTATTTTTTTTAAAGAATCATGAACATCATACCAATGTGGTTTGGCCTTAGCTTTGGCTTTGGCTTGTTTCACCGTCGCCTCTTTCATCTTTACTCGTTGATGTTTCTCGTTGATTATTTGTTGGATCGTTTAGTGTTCATTCTTAGGCGATGCGACGTGGATTTCTATATACACTGTAGTATATAATGAATACGCGTATGTGTGTGTGTGTATATATGCTGTAGGCCAATATCACTCGTTTCTGCCTGAAATGAGAATAAGACACAAAAGAGATAGCCACTCGAATGGGAATGCACGAGTTATTCTGTACGATGTGTTTGCATGTGCATACGTGTGTGTGTCTATGTGTATGTGTATGTGTATGTGTGTCTGCCACACGCATTTTGACACTTCGAAACTGTAAATTATTGCTTTTGATGTATTTACTGCACATGTTATTATTTCGTTAACTGCGGAAGAGACGGTCAAATTAAAAGACACGCATACGCACTTATTTTCAACAGTTTGGTAATGCTACAGTTTAAGCCAACGCCAAAGTTAAAGCCAAAATGCTGAACCTAAAGCTGAAGTTGAAGCAAAAGATTCCGAACACCAAAATATAACACGAAATACAAGAAAAATATATTTGTGGAAATATACAAAAGAATACTGAAAATTAGTCATACAATAAGCCATGAATGATTCCTCTCTCTTTCTCGAAAAATGAAAATAAAAAAAATATATATTCAAAGCAGGTCAAGCAGGCAAAGATATAAACGGCAGTAAGAACGGCCAAACGAGAGAATGAAATAAGAAGAAGAAGAAAAAAGAGCAGATTGAATGCGCCCGAAAAAGAATAACAACATATAGAAGAAGTCGAAAACGAAATGGGCAAAAGACAGATAAATGAAGAAGTTCAAACGAGAGCAACAACAAAGCGATCAGCGAAATACCAACGAAAAACGAGCGACGAGAATGTAGAAACGGCGAAAACAAGAATACCAGAATACAAAACTATAATGAAGAGAAGTGCTTATGTGCGTACATGAACTGACCGCTATATTTCATAAAGAAAAAAGAGATGCTTTATTGGGCTTTCTCTCTCGCTCTCTCTCTCTCTCTCTCTCTCTCTCTATCACACACACTCTTTCTCACACTTCTTGCATCTCCAGCCGATGTAACCAAACACGAACCACATACTAAGCATACCATTATATTACCATTATATTTGGAACGCTCCTAATAGGAGCCTCCTATTTAAAAATTCAGCTTTATTCAGAGCCTCAATCTCCACCAACCATCTATATGTGTTGGATCGTTCGAATTCGGGTTTCGTCTTCTTTGCTTTACTACCTTAGCGCTACGCCAACTTTTCTTCTGCAGAGAGCGCGCGGTCTAGACAATACGTTTCTAATGACATGATTGTGAACGCTTCTTGCACCATCATCATCATCATCACTTTTGTTTATCTTGAGACGGCCAACAATGAACTCATAATCGTTCAAATATTCTCAATGGTGTCACTTGTCGGCCATAATCTATTCTGAACTAAATGCATTCTATTCAGAGTGCCTTCATTGCTATTCAGAATTCTACTTGATATATTTCAAGTTTTTGACAAATTCAACCGTCGACCAAATATCATTCGTCGGGTATTTAATGTGAAGTAAAATAAAAGTATCCCAAATTCGTTTGCTTAGTTCGTTGAAGATGAAAATGACAAATTGCAAGAGGCCCGTTTCAAATCCTACATAAAGTTATTGGAAATCTATAACCGCCGAAATACAGCAAGACATCGGCTGAAGATGCAATGGAAAAGAAAGTTTGTGCTTTCATCATTGAAATTTGAGGAATCGTGCGGGTGCAATGTTCGGAATAAAATCGTTCCGTCTCTTTTTCCTACTTCTTTTGGCTGAAACAGCATTTCAATCACGGTCGATGCATTCCTCTTCATTACGAAGTAATGTAAAAAAATTGTGTTGGAAAACACACAGAAAATACATGTAAATATCTATTGGATTGTGTTATATTCAATCATTATATTCAACTGATGGATATTGCAGGTATAGTGTTCGTGTGTAATATTGATTTTACAGGTCTCCTTTTTGTTCGCGTTATCGTTCAAGAGTAAAAGTTGAAGCAATGATTGAACTACACCAATCCCAACCAATATTTAGTTAATTGCTTGCTATGCAGCTGAATTAAAATCTTTGGCGTCGATCGATTCTTGATCGCACATAAAATGTTTAATGCCTTAAAATATAGCTTTCATCATGGATAAAAGAGCAGCCTATGCAGCAGCAGCAACAACAACGGTACAGCAGTAGTGACATCAAAAAGAGCGAAGAAAACACTGAACGAAGCTGAAAATTCATTCGTTTGATCGGCCATATTGCTTTTCTTTTTATACTTCATTGCTGTGTTTGTGTTTATGTGTGTGCGTGTGTTTTTTTTTCCTCTCCCATGCATTCATACGCTCTCGTCCTCAATCAGCCTCTTCCATATCGATGCCTTTCTTTGTACTTTGCTTTACTCTGCGTGTGATTCATTCCTGGTCTCTCAATATGTTCAATTCAAAATGACGGTATTTCTTCATTTCAGTACGAATTACTTTGAACTACAGCATTGAACAACAAAACTGACTAAAAATCAAAATCGAACGTCTAGTCACTCGGTCAAATGTTTCGATGTGCGAGATTATCGAAAGATGGAAAATGTTCAAATGAAATTATTTCTAAAAAACGTGTACGTTCTTTTTTCATCTGTGGAACACTCGATAATCTATAAACAGTAGTACATGAAAAAAAACACAAAATCAAAAGCATTCTCGCATTGCATACGTTCAACCAATATATGCTGGACAAAATTTGATTTTTTTCTGCTGTTGCTGCTGTTCATTTCTTTTCCGTTTCTATTTTATTTTCATCGTCATTCTTTTATGAATTATGTGCCCGCATATACACATATTCTCATATACACATACTTTTGTATGCTAGGGATTTCAATTTGTTGCCCCGTCGCTGTATTGCTGTCGCTTTGGATTAGTTGCATATAGCATTTTAAAAGCCATGTCGTGCAGATAAATTGAAGAAATACACCTATTTTTTTGTTCATATACTTACATTTGGCACACACTCAATGGTAATAACACTACATACAAAAATACATAGCAACAAAAGTAACACACAGTAAAACTTTTTGTGTTATACCAAAATCGAATAGTTGTTTTAGTAAATTCGTCACTTATATTTCGATTCAATGCAATCAGTTTTCATCGTTGAAATGAAATAGCTCAAGCCAATCGTTACGCACATTCAAAATACAACAGTGTGGTTCGATTGATTTTCGCCTATTTGGAATCCATTCAGAGCGCTACAGAAATTCTCATATACGCCATTTAAGATTCAAAACAGATTCAAACCGAACAAGCTTGACCAGTTGGCCCGTATCGTAACTGCAATTCTTAGCTTTCATTTTACTTATCAGCATTGATGAATATTTTCTAGGGATTTTATTTTTATATTGACAAGAAACGCCACATTTCAGGATAAATTCAAGTTAATCGCCCGCGATTATTGGCAATAAAATTAATTGTACACATCTTATACTCGTTTATTCAGGTATATGGGCAAAAACACAGACTGGAAGGTTACATTCGCACGATTTTTCAAAATATTCATGCTCATATCTCTTTTGTAAGCCCAGAAACCACTTGAAGTATTATGCTGAGGCAAATCTAGACCACAAAAGGAACATTTCATACCAACAAACCTTTCCCATATCTCCCACACCCATAGAGATATAGCCGTTTTTTTGTTGGACTGAAAGGTTACAATTTTGGCGATATGTTTGGAGTTTTTCTTACATATATCTAAAATCCAGTTCCCCCAGCAGAGCATCCTTTTACTCCAAGGTTCTGTTCGCTGTCTGAAGGATCAAAGAAACGAACGAAACCATATTTACCCCATAAAAATCAATTCGGGTCGCTCTATGATCCAAAATATACGGACTGGAAGGTTACAGAAAAAAGACTGCCTCGTTACACAAAATTCCTCGGGCTAAATAAACCAAATATCAAATTCAAATTAGGTTCAAATCAGTCGATAACAAATAGAAATACGAGAATTTATCATGATTTTTGGTTTGGAATCGATTTGTAATAGAAATTTGTCATAAACGATTCCGATTTCTCTGATCAAAAAAAGGACTGTAAGGTTACACATAAAAGACTGAATCGTTACAAAGTACATCGACGGTTGAAATAAATGCAATAATACACTCAAAATTGATTCAAATGGGTAGAAAAAGAATAGAAGTGTTATCATTCTTTGTGGTGTTCAGTTCTGGATTGGTTTACAAAGAAAAAACCTGTCATCAAATGATCTCGATTTTTTCAATGTAACAAAGACTGGCTCGTTACACATGTCTGAAGGCTCGTTTAAGTGTTTTAGTCAAATAAAGTAACTAATATTTTCTATTTTCCAGAAAATAGGCAGAAAGTTCTTAAAAAAAACTAATATAGCGTCATTATTCTTGATAAAGGTATACATGAAAAAAAAAAACTTTCGGGAATTTTAGACTGGAAGGTTACATTTCAATTTGCGGCACCTTTCGGAGCCTTCAAATGCACATGATTAAGATGTATTTATTGCAAAATTTGGCCAAAATAGCACGATTACATCGTAATCTAATAAATAAAATTGAATAATAGCAATGATAACGAAAATTATATATTTAAATAAGGCTTTTTGTTCGGTTGTGTATTTTCGCTTATTTTGACCCAAAACGAGGCACAAGCACAACTACGTTGAAATGGCACACTATAAACGCTTTCCTTTATATGAAAATGGTATTGGCCGATACTTTAGGATCACTTTTAAAGAAAAAAGACCACAGTACCGCGATATTTGAATAAAAAAAAATTTCTAACCATTCCCGATTTTCGTGTTTTTGCTCATATATGGTTTTAAAAAAGAATTTTCATGTTAATTCTAAATAATAAAGAAAAATACGTAGAGATATCAGAATGATCAGAATGAAGCGTGTTAAGGTCAACTACTAGGAATTATAACAAAGTTATCATATGCTGTACACTCCCGCAATAATAACAATGCCGCATGAAGATTATGCTCGAATCGTCGATGAAAGTAGCCTGATTTTAGCATTTGCCATTTGAAAAGCAGATAATTAAAAAAAAACACCTGCCCAAATAGCATTAATCTGGATTAGACCACACCGAAATAATCACATTAAAAACTCACACGACATATCGCAACCCAGCATTTTCACCAAGCAAATAGAATGTTCTTGAAAAACAAAGGAACTAGGTTATAATGATTGCGTGGATTTTATGTTAAGAAAACCAATTCCGCGCAAAGCTTTGAAAATTATCTAGAATTAAATTTGAGTTTGATGATCATCAAAATTTGGATAATCGTCACACGCCCTTTAAAATATACGAACACTTTTGCCTGATGATCCGATAGTAACCACATTCTATTTCTTTCCTTACAGATTTCGAATAGACAACACCGATCACATCATAGACGTAAATAAGGGAAATTTAGCCTTTGAATACGATCAAGTGCATATAATATGTCCAGTGTACGAGCCAGGCACATTTGATAATGAAACTGAAAAGTATATCATTTATAATGTGTCAAAGGTGGAATATGAAACGTGTCGCATCACAAATGCGAATCCTCGTATTATAGCCATATGCGATAAACCGCAAAAATTAATGTATTTTACAATAACATTTCGGCCATTTACACCACAACCAGGTGGTTTGGAGTTCCTACCAGGAAATGATTACTATTTCATTTGTAAGTACACTGCAGTTAAACATTGTTTCGTTGTGCATGCACAGCATACATATTCACTATAGCTCCCATTTTACAAGTATTTTTTTCAAATTATGATTGCTTGCGACTCAATCCTTGTTGAAGCGAATGTAAAACAATGCCTTGTACGCCCGAGCCCAGGTCAGGCTGGGTGACAATTTCTTTTTGTCGTTTGGTTTCTTTCCTTCCTGAAATTTTGCACTCTATTCAGGTGACCATTTGAATGAAAACCAATAAGCACAGGATGAATTCGTTCTGTGAGAATAAATAAATGCGTGAAACCCTTATAGCAGCAATCACTTCATCATTTGTTTAGCTTCAACTTGATTTACGTCTTTCATTTCATTTTATCATTTTTAAAAGCGTAATTAAACAACCCACTAACTGCTCAATTTCATTTTATTTTCCGTTCGTTATGTCCTGTCTGTGTCACAAAACAGCAACATCTTCAAAAGATGATCTGCATAGGCGAATAGGTGGACGGTGCTCCACGAACAACATGAAGGTTGTTTTCAAGGTTTGCTGTGCACAAGAAACTGAAACGCAGAATACTACCCAAACATCATTGGATGTTGCATCCAAGAATAATGCCACGGTTAGTGCCAACCAATTGCTATATTATTCAATGAATATTATTTACTTTTTTTGTCAACGGCAATCCATGATGGAAAAATAACGATTGATTTACTAATATTTTTTGTCCAAAACATTCCATTGCAGACTACCACCGTGGGCAATACTACCGGCGAACGCACTCCGCTACTAACAATCAACACAAGCAATGCTGTCAAGAGCACAATGACATGGCTATCGCGTGACAACGAAGGCAATGGTGGATATCGGCACAGCATTCCAATCACCTCCACCATATCAGTACAATCATACCATCCACATCCGACTTCGTCTAGACCTTACATCAACAGTAGCAAATTTAATAAAAATAACAACAATAAAAACTTCAACAATAACAATTTTAATCATAGTAACAATGCGCCGTCCCATAAACCAACTAAGAAAACAAGTAAGTGCCACCAAACATCTGCCATTTGTCATTCATTCGTAAATTTGTTCTGCACATCTTATGAGAAAATTAAACATTACAAGCGCACAATTGATATTTACGAGGAAGCTTCTTAGCCTAATGTTCGAAAGAGCTCACCAACACCCCTTTATTTGTTCTTTTATTCTGCGAAATGTTCTGGCAGTCATATGAAATACATTCAAATCTATTACAATCAAGAAAATCCAGATATGAGATAAATAATTGATTGCAAAAACGGTCTTCGATGTGAATGATCATCGAAATGCAGGCCATTTATATGTATATATATATATATATTTCACGTGGAAACCAAAACGTTTTCGATGAAAAATTGAGACACAATTAACCACGAGCATTAAAGACATGACAATGCATTTGTCAAAATTGATAAGAGCACTGTTTAGTGAATTCTACAGAACATTCTCCGTAACTAAGAGCCTCACCGTGCGTTCGCAAATTGAATAGCGGTCAAACTTCAAAGTGTTTTGGCATAGTCTTCAGTGTTGATTTTGATTCGGTATTAATTTTCAATGTGTGTTTATTTTCTATTTTAGACGAGTACGATAAGCATCCGAATGAGGTCGTAAAAAATGAAGAGCTCACTTATAACAATAATGGTGGATTCAGTTTGATGAGAACAAATCGACGATCCGTAGACAATTCCACATCGTTCCTATTCAGTTGGATGCCGCAGCAGTTGTCGTTCATTGTGTTGACTTTGTCGTTAGTGTTTTTCCTAAATTATCTATTTGTAATTCAATCGATATTTGTACCGAATCTAATACGCGTCATTCGGTGCAAGGTTCCTGCTGGTACTGATGCTAAATCAGAAACATTTGAAACGGTAGAAGATAGTACCAAGAAGACGTCCAAAATGTGTCAATTAGCATCTAGCCAGTGCCAATTGATGAATGTGCCTCGCGCCGATGTTGATGACAGCGTCACAATGCAAATGTGGAACGAATCATCATCGGAGGATTCACAATTAGTACATGTATCAACGCTAATACAATGTTGTCAGACATCAAGGGCAAATGGAACTGCAACTGCAACTGCATCTGTGAAATTAATCGATAAGGCAATGCCTCCTCAACTAATACCGCACAAGCGGTCAATCGTTACTACTAATTTTAATGATAATACTACACCTTCACCTAATAACATTTTGAACAATACGAATACTATTTTAAACTATTCTAAATCGACGTTTGTACATAGCCACTTTAATCGAACTTACGACGAAGTAAATGGCACTATCAATTTCACAAATGCATTCATTGCTCTTTATACAAGAAATAGTGATAATATTAAATTAAATATTAGTAGTGATAAGTTTAGTTTAGATAATGACAGTTGTATTAGGCATAATTCAACTAAATGTACCGGCGATTTGCAGCAGCCGCAACCGCCGCAGCAGCAGCAGCACAAGCAGCATTACGATAAACTAAACAATAGAAGTAGTGGAAAATCATCATTGGTTCAGTGTTTTCGGTGAAAACGCTTCGTTTTCCGAATCGACTGATCAAAGGTACATTCATTCAAATGTGCACGAGATTTTATCGTACTTATTTAATTATATAAAATTCAAGAATGATGAAGGAGAACAATGCAGCAAATGAAAGCCATAAGTCCTTTGAATTCATGCCAGACACAATTGCAACAGTTGATGCAAAATACGCGCAGACTTGGTGGATACTACACAATATATACAAACAACTTGGCACATGTGAAATTGTGATTTTGGAGTGCATGGAAAAATTAACATTTTATTACATTAGAACGCATGCTACTCGAAGAGCAAAATGCTATTCGAAGACATTTTTTTTAAAACTTTGTTCAATTTTAATGAAAAGCTGGATTTTTCATTACGTGTTTTTTTAAACAAACAGAAAATGTAATCAATCACGCAACATTATTCTATATTTTCGGGATTTTAGTTTGACTGATTCGATTTTATGCAGTGCAACAACAGAACTCCTTGTATTTCAACCAGTTAGGCACAATGTGCATCATGCAAATTTGTAAATAGTTCTGAAATACAGGTAACAATTTCAAGACCATGTGTCATAGAGTGTATCGCGTACTTAATTCACTCGAATATATGGTGATGTGATCAAATCTAATAGTATTATTACAAATGTTCAAAATGAACTTGGAATGGATCCAGAATTACATTTGAAAAGAAAATTCCAACGAAACTTTGAGTCTTGAATGAGACTTTCCGCAACTAACGGATATCCAATTCATCATATATTTTTTTGCTTTCATTTGATTTGATTTTGTTTTTGTGGCAGTTTTTTTAAATCAGGCTTTTCTTCAATACTAGTATAAATTGCGACGAACTTATATGCAACACTTCAAGTGATATGATGACAAACACTTCATTTTTTTATTATTAGCTTACAGCCACTATTCATATTTATATTAGATTCACAGAATGTTAAAAATATCTTGAAATGGACAAGCAGGATTCATGTATTCAAGTATCTGTGAAACCGCACAAAGAACAACAAAACACAAAAACGAATTTCTGGATAGAAGTGTTATTTTTGTTGTCTTTGCAATAAAACGGCACTACTGTACAAGACACATTCGAACAGATTTTAAATTATTCGAGTTTTATAGTGAGATTTATACAAACACACACACACATCATAAGCAAACGAACAAACAAACAAAAACGCCATTTGAAATGAACGAAAAGTACAGAAATTATTATTATATTTGTTTCCACCACTGCAACGTATATGTATATTTTACTTGTGTCAATTTTAGTGCTTTCAGTACTTAAAAAGTCTTTTATTTTACTTTAACAAAGTTTAAATTTTTTGTTTACACATTTTCCATTCATTTCGAATTGCCATAATCGAAAAGAAAAAAATAAATATGACATCGATAATTTAAATTTAAACGAAAAACGAAATGCTCATTTCTACACGTAATATCGTTCGTTTCTACATAATTTGCGCGTTTTCTTTACAGTAAACTGGATTTAAGTTAGAAATTTACACAATCATGACCATAATTATTTACTTTTTACTAATCGGTTGAAATGGATACACCGTAATATCGAGTGACATTAAATGAATACGAAAAATAATAGATATATATCCGAAAAAAGCGACTAAATAAAGGGGGTAAATAGTTTTATTGAAATAGGTTTATAGGCAATCAACAATATAGAACAGGCAGCAATAAATTTAATGAAATACACATTTTAACTGACGATCGATTTATTTGGCTACAATGTTCATGCCCCACAGATACAGTATCTCTTTCTGTCCCACCATAATTTTATTATTCCCATTAAAAATGTGATATTTTCGGACGATCAATCTGTTCCTCTTTATTTTATTTTTTGAAACCATTCAATATATCTATCACCAATATTTAAAAAAGACCCAGTAAGTGAAGATACTAATTTGATCCGATTAAAACTGTTCACAGACATCAGATCATTTGTTGTAAAATTATGTGTAAAAGTATTTTTAGCCATGGAAAAAAACAGAAAAAATGGAAGTTCTTACATAAATAGATGATTTGAAGCTACGAAAAGTCATTTATATTGAACATTTTTCGGTTCTTCTAACTTTTATCGATCGATTTCCATTGAAAATAAAAAATAAAAACAATATCTACCAGTCGAACTCAAAATTAAAAAAGAAAAACACATGTGAAACCCTGTCTCGAAGTTTTGAAATTTATAAAATGAATGGATATGTTCTTTTGCACGGATTTAAAATAGTAGTGCCCTGAAGCAATTTTATAAGTACTTTGTAAAAAAAAGCATATAATGTTTACATTTCCAATTTATCACATCAATTTCATTTCACCACTTCCCACATAGACTTCAAACATATGCTGGAAGATGTGTCAATCACATCAATCAATCATACAAATAATTTTGCACACTGCCATGTTCCATGTGTGACAATGTGTTTTTATCAGTTCGTGGCAGATAAATCACTTGGCGCACTACACGCTGAACTACTGATGCAGTACATTGAGCCATGAATTGACAACGTTTATAGATTTCAACTATGAACTTAAAAAACGTCGTTAATATGGTGTAATTGACACATATGTATGTTGAATCATCATTTACAAGAAAGAAAAATTTCTAACCACAACATTCAAAAATGATCTACATGTATGTATGATCTACCGAAAAACTAATGTTATTGTGTCTAGTTTTCCCTGGTATGTGCTCCTTTTGTTTTTGAAAAGAGTGTGTTCTTTTTATCAGTAGAATACCGAATTAGTTTATTTTGCCTTCATTAAAAAACCGAGGATGCGTTAATATGCGTCATTAGTAACGTATTTGCTTAACTGGGTGAAGTAAAATACCGTCGTATACCCTTGCGTGAGGTATTGAACAAATGTAAGCATGCACCGAAGATCCCATGATTCTGTCAGTATTATTTTGTTGTTGCATTTGATAAGTTTGCATTACCACCGCTTTTATGTGCGCATATGTACATGATGCTGACTGACTGTTTGCAATCTTCGGCAAAAATGTAACGCAGTGGGAAACGTCGTTCACGCGTCCACATTCACATCTACCGCATGTAAACTGCGATCCATTTCTGATTAAAACTGAACACATACTCATAACTACTGTCACAAAATGTATTTGCAAACAAATTTTTACTGATTTTATTGGAGGAACAATGTAGATTGTAAGTGATATGTAAGTTTCCCCGAACCTCAAAAATGGCAAGAAGAGTTGATGGAGGGTAGCTAAACAATTGATAATAAGTGGTGGAAAAAGCTACGATATAAATATACTGTAATACTGTAAATTTTGAAAAAGAGAACACTAAATGGAACTGCATTATATTTGGAACACATATGAATTAACATGGGTAACTATAAAGTTAACGCAAATTGTAAGAAATCATTGAGTGGGCGATATTGAAATTTTAAAAATATTATTCCCCTGTTGATCGGATTATTAAAATGTCAGTATTTTGCTTTTGTGGCAACAATTTGCCGCACTCTTTTGTTGAAATTCACCCTCTACCATCTCTATATATCTCTCTCTCGTTTTTTTTTTAATTTTAGTCCGTAATCATGTAAATCATTTACAATTAAGTTTTCTAATAGTAATCATAATATGAACTAATATAAAACACACCATATTGCATTACGCATTAACTAAATTATAAAAAAAACCTAGAAAACTACGACGGTCTACACATACTACGAATAAATTCTTGAAAAACTTATTAAGATTAAACAAATGATCTTAAGTATTGTGGTGTTATAATGATAGAAAAGAGGGAAGAATAAAAAAAAACAATAAACGAACTGAACAACTGAAAAAATAGAAAAAAGAAATTAAAACTAGAAATTAATTACAAACAATGATGGAAGAGTATGTATACAAGCTGGACTGGTTAGCTTTTGAATATTTTGAGTGTTTGATTGAATTCAAGCATGACAATTATATTTCAAATAAAAGATTCGGTCAAAAGTAAATGGAAGTAAATTCCCATTTTGAACGATTTCTATTAATAACCCATGACGGCACAGAATGCATGACAATTGGATTCCATTTTCAAACTCACAAAATATGCACAAACTAATCAGTCCCATACACCCATATATCCGATATAAATAATATATGATTATATTTTATTCAGTGTCTAAAAATAATATTAACGAGAAATATGTATAAATTTTAAATATGAAAAAAATCTTTCTTTCCTTGATTTAGTCTTTATTTGCTTCCTTTACAGTAAAAATGCCTTACTTCAAGTCCAATTGTTATATCTCTGATGCAAATGTTGCCATTGGTGATAAGGGTTCACAGATACCTTTAAATCGCATCCGATCAATTGAACTCAAAAATTATAACTACCTTGTGGTTGTTCAATCCACCATGGCAATTGTCATCTGTCATAAATAATTCTTCTGCTGGTGCCAATGTAGTTTCAGCGATATTCTGACTCTCATTCAACAATACGAAAAAAATGAATTGGTTGTATTGTGTGTTTTTCAAGTTAAAAATCTTTATTTATGATAACATATGGTGCGCCCTTTTGGGCTATCTGTGTCCAAAAGAAATAAAAATCAAGTTTTCTTGTTTTCCTTGTCTTAAACCGATAATTCATTTGACTGAGCCTCAGACGAATGTATGTAACGACATTTGTTAATTTTATTTACCACGGCGAACTTTTTTTTTCGTACATCACATCACAGAACTCGATTCAACAAACGAAAGCAAGTTAAAACTGAAATAAAAAAACAATCAAAATACATCAAAAGTTGATAGATATTCTCTTAGGTAATTAGTTTTATCTTTTAAATCACGCCAGTACTTGAAACATTCGCTATTTACAAAAATGACAACATAATAATATAACTGATAACAATCTCGTAAGTAATTATGATGGATAATCGTCGTATCTATTCTCTATTTAGGAAAAAAAAGAAAACGTATTTCACTTAATTCTCTAACACTTGTTTGGCTTTACACAAATCGATGAAGGTACGGATGTACCGATGTTCGGTTCAATTTAAATTTGCCTTTGGTCAAAACTGAAATTGACACAAGCAAAAGACCCTTATACATTGTTATTTCAGCATCGCTTCTTTTTGTGTGCTTTATTGAGTTTTCTTTTTTTGAGAATCATTTCGTGGAGCGCCTCTAAACCTTCTTGCAAACCATCGCCAGTTATTGCGCAAGCGGGTTGAATATACCAGCCCTTAAATGATGTTGCATTCGATGTGCTTGATGAGGACGTAGATGATATCGTCGACGAGGCATGATGAGGCGATGCAGAACTTGATGTTGACGTTGATGTGTGCGGTGGTGGTGTGCTTGAACAGTTCGATGAAACATCCGTGCCTTTACTATCGAGACTATTTAGTCGAGTATCCACAGGCTTATGGGCAGTACTGATATTTGCCACCGGTAAAGTCGATGATGATTTTATCATTTGCGGCGAGATCGCTGAAAAGGATAGTTCATGCAGACCAAGCAATTTCTCTAATTCTTTTGGTTCTTTGGCTCCAGGCAGATCTTGTTTGTTGGCGAATATCAAAATGGGCACACCCTGGAAATGTTTTGTATTTTTTTGTGTGATGAAAATGTCAAAAAAGTGTTTTAATTTTCAAAAATGTGTTTCAATCTTACATGATTCTCTGAACACTTTGCCGTCCGCATCAACTCCATTTTGGCTTCCTCCATACGTTCTACATCTACAGAATCGATTACAAAAATAATACCATCCGTGCACCTAAAATATAACAACAGTGAGCGTTATTATTATTTCTACAATTGAGTGGCTGGAAATAGACATCTGTATGAATAACTTGTGAATTGTGAATTAGCTAGAACAAATGTCTTCGATCCAATGGGATTTTCACGATAAAAATTCTAAATGATTAATTTTCTAATTACATAGTATGCTGATTTTGGGCATCGGCGGCAATAGAATATACAAATACATATATATTAATTTCCTACTAACCTTGTATAACTTCGCCATAGTGGCCGGAGTTTTTCCTGTCCACCAACATCCCAAACAAGAAATTGTACCCCTCTTGCTTTACCCAATGCTCCTCGTACCTAGTTACAACAAAAAACAGAGAAAGTCATACAATCGAAAATATTGACCATTCTAGTCAAAAAGCCAATTTTTCACACACCTTTTCGCAATTAAATCCAATTGTTGTCACTGTGTTCAAATATTGATCTAATTTAAGACGATATAATGCAGTTGTCTTCCCGGCTGAATCCAAACCAAGCATCGCTATATGCAGTGTCCCCTAATTTTAGGAAGAAAAAGAAGAAGAAGAAGAAGAAGAAGAAAAGGAATACAATCATGAAATTGACATTTCGACTTGAAGCTGTGATAAGTTGAATTAATTATTTTTTTGATCGGTCGATGTTTGCATACAGTGAATTGAGTGGAAATTACAAAAACTTACATGTGTTGATGGTAATGATTCTAAAATAGTTCCATTTTTCCCCATTGTTGCACCCATTTTTCAATTGAAATCTAATTGGATTTTGACGAATCCGGTTTTCCAGTTTTTACATAAATCTTCTAAACGTGTTCTATTCGAATCATATAAAACTCGAATTTTTCAAAAATGTGTCGATCGTCGAACGGTCTGATCGAATACATCGAGTGTCATCTTAGAAGTTGCTTTCTTTTCAGAACAGATTTCAATGGTAACTAAAAACATTACAATGAAAAACGAATTAACAGATTGGTGTTGATAACAAATTAATTCAGAAATTGTTAATGCAACTTGATACTACTCCATATAGAGCGGTATTTCGGGCTAAACATTACAACTTTCAACAGAAAATGTACATCTCAACATCAGTCACAAGACACTGTTCATACGGGAATCTGAACAGAGTGGGTAAAAAGTGCGCTACAAAATTGCAATTATATCAACAGAGACAGTTCAAAAACGAACAGCGAAAGACGGGACGACATAAATGAATATATGAATAAATATCAAAGCAAGTAGTTTCTGATCTCAACGCGATCTCTTCTATGAAGTATCCGCATATACGGCTCACATACGACGCTCAACCTAACAGTCCGCTCTCTTGTGCATTATCGCATATAATAAAATCTTGAAGTTAACAGCTTATAAAATGGAGAAAACCGCTAGAGAAAGCAAATCAATATTAAATAATGTTTGCCGTAAGATTCTGGCCAACTGGCGGTTTGCTTCTTAATTCAAATGCTCGTATATCGGTCATTGCATTGTACAATGACCAATTTTACAATGAAATCCATATAGGAATATCATATTATCGCACTGAATTGGCGCACTCAAGAGCGTCTGCAAAGCAACATTATTTAATTATTTAGAAGAAAGGAAATTAATAGCAATACACTGCTGGGAAAGTATTAAAAGGAATGCGCAGATAATGGAAATTGTGAAAAACAATTCTTTAAAAAAAAACCATGCTATTGATTTTAATAGAAAAAATGTCTTATTGAACGATTTGAGTCTCAAACTCTGAGGTTGAACATTCAACGTCTCCATATTTCTTTCTGTCATTTTTACTCCATGAAACATTGCAGCAATTGAAACTTGATGTGGTTATTATGTGCAGGGAATTTGGATGATTTTTTTAAATAGAAATCCGCGTAAATTTTCAATAAAACCAATTGATGCATTGACTATAGTCAAATTGGAACAACCTAACAATATATATATAAATATACAGCCAATTTCAGTCTCTGATTTCGTGTAGAGGAAAATACAAAATTTTGCTAAAACAGTTTCGAAGTCAAATGATTGTCACTGTTATCATTGAACTACTTATTAGTCTAGAGTAGTCTACGGCAATAAATGAAGTTAATTTGGCACTGTGATAAAAACGATAATACTATTTTGATAGAGTAAAATTGTATACAAATTTAACCGATGAAAATCGATAATTTATGTAAGTGCTGAACAGCATAGATACTCAAAAGAAATGCATGTAACCAATAGCGTATGGTTTTTCAATAATAATTCGACGAAATCAATTTTTGTCATGAACTGGTTTTCACTGCGTATTTTTACGTATACTTTTTTTTTACTTATGCGAAGGTTTGTTTATGTACTTATTCAATTTTCAGCATTTCTTACCTGTATCGTAATTTGGACTGCCAGACGAACAAAACCAAAAGTATTGACTATAAGAAAATGTTTATTTTTTCTGTAGCTGGAAGGAAACAATTGATTCCTCTCTTTTCGGTACGAATAATAGAAACTAATAGTTTTTTTTGTGTTCTACATCTAGAAGTATTTCGTGTCATTTTTTGGAAACAATAAACCTATGCAAAATGTTTATACGCTTGCATGCAGGAGCATTTTTTCACACAGAAAAAGGGCTACAATTTTGATCAGCCATCAACTATACAACACATCATTGCGTACATTACTTCAACAAATAGCAGTTTCACTTATGAAATTTTGTCACTTTTTTTCATTCCTATAAATTTTGTCAATTTTTCATACACAAGTTGCACAATTTTCGGATGCTTTATATTGCATTTGTTGAAGCACACCAACAAAAATTTAGTTCACTGTTTTAGGGATATTTTCAATAAATCGTATAGTTACATTAATAAACAACAGCAACAGCAACAACCACAATAATAAAATCCCAAATGAATTTTATGTTTCGATTCGAATTAACAAATTGCTTCGTATGCGTTTTTACTTGGTCTACCACTTTGGATGGTTTTTATTTTCATTTTTATAATGTTTATGTATTTGAAATGTATCTGACATACACACGACGACGTCTGAGTTTTAGTGTATGCTTGTATGAGTGTGATTTTCGGATTTCTCGTTTTGACCCGAGTTTTGTTCACTCTTATTGGTCGCACCGATTTTTTTTTCAACAGCATTCAAAAAGACCCATATTACACACGGCAAACTGTTCTGCACATTCACACAAAAACACATACACACACACACACACACACACACACATGTGTGAGCCACTTAATGAATGAAGCAAAGAAGACAGACCAAAAGAGAGATACTCACAAGAAATTGGGTGTATATATATGTGATGTAAGCCCTATGTTTTGTAGTATTTTGTGTAACGCATGCGTACAATCAGTCTACTCATACATTCTCATTTCCTTTTTCATTTATGGGCTGGCGGTGAAATTTTCAAATGATTTTCTCCCTGAACTTAAATAGTTCCCATATGAATTTGCTCATTCTCAACGAGATTTTCCTAGCCCAAACGATAATTTATAAACTTTTTTTATGGCATTTACATGAAGTATAGAAAAGATTTTTTTTCTTGAGTCAACTGCATTCAAATGATAAATCCCATTAAATTTCTAGATTTAAGAACATTTACGCAAACTCGCTACATTTGAATCGTGAATGTCCTATACTTATACTGTTTTCCAATCGTACTCATGTTGTTGTGTATGTACACTCGAATGAAATTCGTAAGTAGCGAATTAATGTTTGGTTTTGTCTTCATTCATTTTGTCAAGTGTTACCACATGATATTTGCTTGACAGCAATAACGTACTGTAATGCACACAATCCATATAGCTCCATAGTGGTTATTTCGAAACAATAACGGACACATCAGTACTTCGCTACGATTTGAAGACAATTAGCTTTATCTTCACTTGAATCTGTCATGTGAAAACCTAACCTCGAATATTTTGACAGTTCCGAGACTGGCCTGTATATTAGTTATTGTTGTTTTTTTCCCTATTTCATTTCATATTTATTACGATTTCGAATATGATATCGACTATCGAATAGTAGTCGCACTTGCATTTGAAATAGATGTAGCATAGATCAAACGGGAGAGTGTGAAGTGGAAAGAAATTACTGCAAATTAAATAGATTCGTTTTCATAAGATTGTTTACACGTTGGATTTTGTTTTACAAAATGCCCAAACTAGAAGTACTTCAAGTGTTGAGTGGACACAAAGGTCGTGTATGGGGTGCTACCTGGAATCCTCTGAACACAGCGATTGCAACGTAGGAATTATCTGTATTGATTTGCTTTTCGCTTCAAATATATATTCACTTTCTTATTCTCTTGTTTGGTGTTTCAGATGCGGTGAAGACAAAACCATTCGTATTTGGTCACAAGACAATAATAGTAAGTGGGTGACAAAGACTATACTTTCTGATGGTCATTCTCGGACGATACGCAGTGTTGCATGGTCATGGAATGGTAATTTGTTGGCTTCAGCTAGCTTCGATGCGACAACTGCCATTTGGGATAAGAAATCTGGTGAATTTGAATGCAGTGCCACTTTAGAAGGTCATGAGAACGAAGTGAAAAGTGCCTCTTGGTCCCGTTCGGGTAATCTACTAGCTACCTGTAGTCGTGACAAATCCGTTTGGATTTGGGAGGTGATTGGTGATGATGAATTCGAATGTGCAGCCGTTTTAAATGCGCATACTCAGGATGTGAAGAAGGTTGAATGGCATCCAGAATTGGAGATTTTAGCTTCAGCAAGTTATGATAACACAATCAAACTGTATATTGAGGATCCAGCCGATAATGATTGGTCATGTTTAGACACGCTGAGTGGACACACATCGACCGTATGGAGCATATCGTTTGATAAGAGCGGCAAACGTTTGGCATCTTGTAGTGACGATCGCACGGTACGTATCTGGCAAGCATATGAACCTGGAAATGAAGAGGGAATCGCAACGCCGGATAACGCAACTGTTTGGAAATGTGTTTGCATTTTATCTGGTTACCATACGCGTAGCGTGTACGACATTAGCTGGTGCAAACTAACAGGTTCGATATTTTAAAAACAAAAATTATGTGAATTAACTTATAACTTCATATGAATTGAACATGCAGGTCTTATCGCAACAGCATGCGGTGACGACATGATTAGAATTTTCAAGGAATCGGATGGATCCGATAAGAACCAGCCAAATTTCGAATTGCTTTTGTCCGTCCATCGGGCACATACACAAGATGTCAATACAGTTGCGTGGTGTCCACACACAGCCGGGCTTCTATTATCTACAAGTGACGACGGTGAGGTCAAAGTATGGAAATTCAGCGAATAGTTCACACATTAGACTATGGAGTTAGGAGGAAAATCATTTTATTTTTCTGTTTTAAAATAAATCGTTACCATAAGAAAATGTAACTATTTTCGTTAAAAAATTTTATTTCTTGCCCAACCTGCGAGACTTCTGTGTATTTTGAACAGAAATGCCTGGATATTAATACAACACATTCTCATCAAATATATGTTAGAGAATGTATTTCTCCATTGTATTCTATCCGGAAAAATCGACCCTATGAAGGAAATTTCGTATTTGGCCCAGGTGTTTGGATAATAAATAGTGAAACGGTTTCACTGTTACATATTGACAATAGCTCGATGTCAGCAACAAGAATATATCGTGTAATTCATACTAACAGCAAAAAAAATCCGTAGTAATGTTGCACGCGATAAACTTTTTTTCATTCATCTATCTCTCACCTTGATCGAGCTTTCAGTCTTTCGCTCGTGCCTTACATGTCATTCCTAGTATTTGGTGTAAGTTCAGTCGAAATTGGAGTGTCTACCGGTCAGGATTACTTTTTGTAGCACCGCCGCAGTAGGACGACATCGCGTATTTGTGATAACACACTGTGAACTCTATCACAGTGGGTTGCTTAAGTTTGCAACAATTTTGTGCAAATTTTTACAAAATAATAAATTGTTGTATTTTTAAACTGGAATTTCAATTTTTATTCAATTAGTTCATTGAAAATGGGTTTGTTTTCTTACAATTAGTCTCAATTTTTACATCTTCATTCAAAATATGTGAATCCAAAATTTAATGAACAAATTTAGCAAATTCTTCTATCACAAATATACAATACTGCCAAAGTCATCGAATCTAGTGCCATGGACTGGACAAATTCAAATGAATTTAAAAGGTAAATATTTATTTGTGTAACAAACCAAAATACAATTATAAAATTCATTATGTATAAATGCATGCGGCTAGAACTGATTAGATTATTGGAGTAGAGAATAGTAATAGCAATAATAAGGGCGTGAAATTTTTATGGGGCACAGAGCTTCTAAAGCAGGATACGAGAAGTCAAATTACCACTCGCCTTGGAAAGCGTGTGTAACTATGTGAAAAAATTTACCCATACGCACACCCAAATTTGAAAATGATTACCTTTTTTGAGTCCATATTTCTTTCTTTGAAGTGATTTACACTAGATAGAATCGATTTTCAAAAGTAAGGATCAAATCACTCATAATCAACGGCGAAATTCCCCCCGAAATGAAAAAAATTGAAATTTGAAAATACTCCTCTTTGGACGACGAACCTTCAGAAGCTCTGATGAAGCACTGATGAAGCACTATGTTGGAATCGAATGAATTAGCGAAAAAAAACAAAACAGCGACTTGTCAAGGTTACTTATTAATTTCACGTGCTTTTGGATGACCTCGGTCGCGCTTTACCATCAAGGTAAAATTCGTGTACTGACCTGTGGCACTTCACTCCTTCGTGCATTATGAATTAATTAGATATTTTGTAATTTCAGATTTTTTTCCGTTCAATCAAATTGTCTAGTTATCCCTTTTAATATGTCTTCTTCTATCGTGTGCGTGCTGGTTTCACCATGCAAATTATCCATGAGAATCTTTTATGTTCGATAATATTAATCTTATACTTAACTAACACAGTATTTAAATGCAGTGTATTAATTGGATAAAACAGTGGAGGTGAATTACTAAAAATGCTGGATTGAGCAGCATGGGGGCAAAAGAAAGGAAATACTATTTTTTTGGTCATTTACGAAAATTGGGTCAATGTTTCAAGTGCAACAGTTCAATAGTCTGGCGTTTTGTGCTTTATGCTCAAGCCAGCTTACTATTTCGTTACGATTATCATGTTTCTGTGTTCATTTCTGTATGACGCATGTGGATATGGCAGTTGGTTGCTATATTCCATGGTCAACGGTCATATATATACGAACAGAATCTAATACATATATTTGTATACGACAACAAAAGCATGGGGTTAGGTTGTTTGAATATTCAATCTCCTCAACATAGCTTTTATCGTTGATCAGTGGCAATGAGAGTATGCTAGCTAAATTCTTAAGCTATCTAATTTATTTTATGTGCATACTTAATTGAGTAACGCGTAATCATCAGCCTCAACTTGGAAATCATTATCGGACAGAATTAATTTTCTTCATTGGATGATAGCAGTCATAGATATAGCTCAATAGCAATTACATTGCTATGCAATCCAAACCCATTATTTGTCCTTCATATGAAAGAAAATATAAAAGTTTCAACAAAATTCTGATGAATAAAATCGGCCAATAGCACAATGCTATTTTGAAAATTTAAAGATTTTCTAAAACATTATTAGTTTTTGTTTAAGTTCGAAGTTCTTTCTTCCTCATAAATATTGTTAGCGTTGCGATATTTGGGACTAGCTGAACACATTTCAACACAACATTCGGTGAAATATTTAAACATTCAACTTGTTTCCATTTGAAATTGATACATTCCGTTGCACCAGGCCAGTTTAATTCACAGCAATTTTTCTTTTCAAACGTATTCGTGGCCTTAGACATTATTCATGGTAACCAATATTTCATAACGATTTTCAAGGTTCACGTGAACAATTTGGTATAAAAGATGCTCCACTTTCACATTAAAACTATCAATTATTTATTAAACGAAACGGTTTTCACTGATACATTTCCAAAGTTTTGTCACTGTATGTGATGTGACACCCATAGGTGTAGTTAGTATAAACTTTCAATTTAGCTTGCACTTCGAATGCATTAGCATGCATTTTCTGATTCCTACCTGATAGTGGTTGAACAAACTGGCTATTTTTCGCATTTTATATTACGTAAGTTGGATTTTACGCTTTGCACCAAAAACTTTTGTTGAACTATGTGTTTGAAGTAATGTGAAAATGAATGTTTTATCGTTCGAAAAGTGAAAATACCAATCATTTATCTGAAACTAGTTTAGTAGTAACAGCAGTATAGTTTTTTTTTTAAACTGAGCACTTGCTGCAATCTCGTCGAAAGGATTTGAAAAAGGGTAGGTTTTTGTTATGATGGGTTTGAGATACCATGTAAATCAAATCAATGTGAATCGCGTAGTTATGTTGATTGAAACAAACATTTGCGTTGCCAGTGGAAATTTATTAACCTCTCTTTTCATGCAATATTTAGGAAAACCCATTGGAAACGAGGCCGATTCGAGAAATCCACCTCTGAACCAAATCTTTCAGGTAATTATGCATGCATATTGTTTTCAATTAAATGAATTATCTTCGTTCAGAAGAAAAAATAAAAACCATTTTGTAATTGCAGCCCATTTCACACCTAGATTTCCCGATAATCTAGCGCATCTTCTGCATGAATATGTAACGGTCGATGAGCTGAAATTTTATCGCAAAAAACGACCACAAAACATTGACGATGGTACTTTCATACACTAGTGATTGAGTAGAGTAACTTGATTAATTTAATTTTTTTTTGAAGAATTTCATAGCAAAGACAGCATTTGTCTATACGACAAAAATCAGCCGATAATCCCATTCGCCTCTCTAAAGTCCGAGTACACAAAAAGATTTGGAAAACTATACAGTCCAAGAAGCAGATCCGTTCCAAATAAAATTAATTTGAACGCCACAACCAAAGAACTACTAGAAGCATTGCAGGATGATTTTAGTGATTTAAATTCCGAAGATTCTCGAAGGTAAAACTTAAGTTCATTGTAAAATATTTCAATGAACACCAGTTATCATGAGTGTACAAAATATAAATTGAAGCCCGATTTTATGAATAACAACATTTTCCGCATTAAATGTCATTCACGTCAACAAATTAATTGAACCTTTAACAGACAAAAATTAATGGCCAATTTTTGTCGAAAGCCCCTGGTTCATAGAAATGAATTCATGAACAATCGCTTCCATGAAAAACCACCACCGAACTACACCGTTCGTAGTGCCATTTTTCTCAGATGTAATTGTAGTTTTTATTGCTTTCGGAACTTTGTTCCGTTCAACGCATATGCAATGATGAGAGCGAATAGAGTTTGAATGACTCCTTATTTTTCAACAAACCAAGTTGATGGTGTTACGGAGTTTGGGCCATATGCGAACGGTGTTTTGGCAACCACCAATATTAGCTGAAGAGCTGGATTTTATGCAAATGAAAACAATATTTTTATTATTTAAATTAAATTAGAGGTAAGTCGGGCGGTGAAACAGAAAATGAAGGCGTAGAAGTTGTAAAATCGACCAAAGAATCAAACGCTGCTGAACGTCCAAGGGAAACGCATCCAACGCAAACGTTCAAGGTTCAAGGTGAATTCTCTTATTCACCAGATAATTTCCGGGGAGAATTCAAGGGAACATCAGTGATGGAGCGTTCGGAATCAGCATCCAATCCCCAATCAAGCAAAATTAAATTTTATGGAAATTTCTTTGGTAGACCCGAATACAATGACAGTTTCAAAGTATATAACCATTTTACAAAAAGTGCACCAATCAAAGCAAAAGACCAATTATGCGTAAACAGGGCAATTATTACACCGAATATTTCACCATTATCCGAGTACACAGACCAATTTAAAGAACTAAGTTTACACAGGTCAAACCAATTAAAAATCTCGAAACAGTTAAGTAATGTAAGAATGCGCAACAACCTAATGATTGGGCATTCAGATCAGCATGTATTTCCCGAGTATTTCGAAAGTTATAAGAATCCACACATTCAAAAACTGCCCGAACGTGCAAAAGCGCGTTCTCCCATCCTCGAAATGACCGGCAGCATGGATTATCGCCCAGAATATAAGTAAGATTCATTCATACACAGAAACCACTTTGCAGATGAAAAAGAAAAAGAAAATGAAAAAGCAATTATTCAATAATTTATTTTCTAGAGTTAAATTTACTGAGTTCCCTCGACGAAGGCCAGTCACACATAGACCCGAATCAAATTTGGATTTTCTCGAAAGGTCACGAAAATCATCACCCGTCAGACAACCAGCTATCACCACAAAATATAATCCACAACTGAATGTTGCCATTGTTGAGCCATCCCAAAATTTGCATGAACCGCCAAAGATAAATCAGGACCCATTTTATTTATGTCAACCAGAAGTTCGAAAAGCCCGACACGAAATGCTGATTAAAAAACGACCAGCATCATCACGACAAATTATTGCGAGCGCCAGAAGTAATGGTCATACCTTTACAACAAATGAAGATGAGGAAAATCGAAGCTATAATGAACGAAGTCGAATTATTAGATCACCAGTTAAACCACCTATAAATGTTACAATCGAAAATTTTGATGAAGAAGACACAAAGACGAAAACGACTATTCACAATGAAAATCCCGTGAAATATGGTCGACGAGCTCCTATTCAAATGGCTGAAAATGTGCAAGCCAAACGTAATCTCAGTAAAATCATCGAGGGAAACTATGAATATGCAACAAAAAAGAAATCCTTGTCCTCGTCCATAATAAACGGAAACACCATGAACACTCAGAGTGTGGAATCTCCCTCATTTGTGATTCTCAAAGATCCAATCAAGCAGAACAAATGGATGCAGTCATCTTGGTATTTATAAGTTACTGGATATAGATTTATAATTATAGAATTGTTATTCTAAATGGTGATCATTGAACGGTAGCATGAACCTGAGAAAAGATTTAAAATAAAACGCAGAGATTTCATACATTCCTTGCAGCTACGCCATTGATGTTGTTATTAGTTTACAATATTTCGGTTAGCTACAACTTTGCATTGACAATGCAAATGAAATAGCCGTTTTGTTTTTGTGTTACTTGTAAACCGTGTATCCACCATCTCTTTCGATGGAAGTTCAGAACCTTATACATGCGTCTTGTTTACTCCCTGTCGCCATAGCTTAACTCATTGCGCAAGATAGTTCTTTTGGAGGTTTTGCTTGTAAAGAGAGAGAGAGAGAGAAAGAGAGAGAGAGAGAGAGAGAGAGAGAGGGGGGGGGGGGGAGAAACTGGCCCATTTAAAAATACATGGGCAAAATACATTTTAAATAGGACTCATATTTAAAAGTATATTGCGAATAGTATGAGAGTGCAGATATTTTTTTAAAATAATACTTGGAATAAATTTCGTTTGAATTAAATATAAAAATGAAATAAAGACTTGGGATGTACTGGAGAAATAGAGATTTTTTTTATGACAATTGATAGTTTAATGTCTTAATTCTGATAAAAATTCATTCACACAACTTAAAATATGCATGCTGCGAAAATGAAAATTTCAAATATGGTTTATATACAGGATTATAACACAGGATTATATCGAGGATATCAACATTAACAGTATGAGCTTCAAGTAGGTAAAATGTATGTGAATATTGTTCAATATCACTGTCAAAATGTTCAAAGTTTTAATATTGGTGTTCCAGAAATTTACGATGAATTCACAAATATTCATGAATTCGATATTCTGGTTTTTTTTATTCCCACATTGGACAAACGCAGAACTGGCTTAAATGGATGGGCAAATATTCAAATCACAACTACCATAATTCAGATTTAGAGCTACTAGCTGCTACATTTTCTCATTTAGAACTACCGGCTATTTCGATCACTTTTCCAACTTCTTCATAGGGTTCAATTCCAGAATTTCCAATTCAAATATGACGCTTATTTGTTGTGATCGAGGGGCAAATCACTCTAAAGTAATTTGTAATAGAGAAAGTAATTTACGTGTAAAAATCTCGATTACTTTTGAAAAGTAATCGAGATTTTTACACGTAAATTACTATCTCGATTACTTTCTCTATTACAAATTACTTTAGAGTGATTCGCCCCTCGGTTGTGATTGCCATTTTAAAGAATCACAAATGTTACATCTGTACTAATAATAACAACCAATACATACAAAACGTTAAGTTCATGAATATTGGTCTGGACCAGCAAATATGACGATCGCCTAAATATAAATAAATTTACTCTGGCAGTGTTGATTACAAACTTCTCACCATTTGTATTTTTATTAAAAATGTTGTTTAATGTTTTTATTGAAGATCTATATTCACATTGAATTTACTGAAATGCAACACCACCGTTCATAAATGGGAACGACTCAGATGATAATGAATTAACTCTATTTATTTCACAAATAAGATATCATGATATAACATTTCAATAGAAATATGACACAATTCTATTATTGTTATTTTTACCGTGAAATAAGCTCTAAATGTGGATACGAACAGAATAATACCAGCGGATGCTGTGAAATAGCTGAGGATTCTTATCGTTTGTGCTTCCCCCGTTCACACCTCATGCATGTTATAATTATACAACCAATTTGATCTCAAATAAAAAGAATTACATTCGTAATCCCAAACTTTTCCGTACCGTTGTCCGTACTTTTAGTTTGTTTTGTGAATTTGTTTGAAATGAAGGCAGTTTTCACGTGAAAAATCGGTCATTTTAGTCGAAATTTGGACAATTTTGCATGGGAGGTACCTATAAATCGACTCCGATTGGCTCAGAAGGCTTCTGAAATTTCATTTTTTCGCGAAAAAATAAGATTTTGAAAGTTTCATGTCGATCGCATTGTCCAAAGCTTGGTTCTTAGTCATCAATTTTTGACAATGAAATTTCGACAAAAATTGAGGACCAAAAATCAAACTTGTGCAAATGCAATCAACATGAAACTACCAGAATCTAATTTTTTCTCCAAAAAATGAAACCTCAGAAAGTTTGAATCCAATCGAAGTTGATTTACACGTACCTCCCATACGAAATTGTCATTTTTTCGAGGTTTTTCTTGGGGCAAGTACCCCAGGATCAAATCGAAACCCATCTTCGAACTTAAACTATGTTTTTCGGATACAACACTTTTGGAATTTACAGATTTTGATTATCCCAATTACTTTTTGAGTTATCGTGTTAACAAACACCAACGACGACGACAACGACGACGACGACGACGACGACGACACACGAACGAAAAAATGTCTCAAAAAGTGGTATTCTACGCGTTTCATGAGTTTTTATGACGATCAAAACCAATTTTGCGGAAAAAAATTTTTGAACCAATTTCTATGCTTTCCCTTGACACGGTGTGTACGGAAAAGTAACAACACACATTGGCATAGATATTTAATATTAGACCAAGACTTTTAGTCTTGATTAGTTTTCTGTTGGTAATGGTAATGGTAGTACGTTATTCCGTAAATATAAAAATGTTGTTGTTGTTGTACTTCTTCAACATGAAACTTTCAGTTGCCAATATTCTTATGTTATAAATTATCCCGAGGAACATAAATAGACTGACAGAGATTTAAGTCACCCTCAATAAGAACGACAACATTGTCGTTCACATTGGTACACACCAAAAGACTTTCAGTGCCCGCTCAGCATGTGCACTGTGATAGTTTTAAGCTATGCTCTTTGGTTCGCCTTAAATTCACCTTACCACTTGTATTGTTTGCACAACAGAGAATTCGTTTTGGTGTCGAGAGTCACACACATTGAGGAATGGGGTGAGTCAGAACTGTATGAATGCTGTAAAATTTTGGTTTTTGCTGAAATCAATGTAAAGATTACCAATGGATCTAAGGCTCTTTGTATGGAAACTGACTGTTTTTGACACATCGACAACGTACAATTGTTCTGACCCACCCCGTTCTCAAATTTATGTGTCTCCCGACACTAAAACATATTCTCCAATACGCAATTTTCAGTTTTTAGAAACATTCAAGAATAAAAAATGTGGAAGGTGAACGTGCACTGAATCGATTCAAATCTCAACGCAAAATTTGCAACTGAGCGTATGTTCACTCATCTCCATTGGGTGACAAGGAAGCTTATTCATTTGTTTCGCACATTTTCGACGATCATTTGAACATTAACAATGACTTAAATATCATTTCGAAGATCCATTTAATAAAAAATAGAATCACCTGTCGCTTGTTTATTCGAATAAAAATAATTCAAACCATTTCATGGGGAGCCATAGTTGACGTGAAAACCAAATTTAAATCAATGAACGTCATGCAATTACTTTGGGTAACAATAATTGTTGTTCATCAATCTCAATTTTCCATTAAAGACGGTTTCGATTATGTCGATGTCGAGAGCTTGATCGACTGCGTGATCTGCTTTTCGAGCTACTGTGACGTCGAAGATGTCGATATCGTGATGAACGATCCGAAGAGTATGAACTGCTACTACTCGATGATTTGGAAGAAAATGATCGAGACCTGAAAGCATATTATAATAAATTAATAAAGAATTGGGCATCGATATTTTTTTCAAATGGAATGATGGGAAAAATGCCTAGGTTCTAATTTCTTAACCCGATTTTTTAGAGACACAGTTTGAGTTGTACGCCAGGAATCACTCAGGTCTGTGAAGACCCGCCACCAACACAAGTGTAGAGCATTACGCATTTGTTAACCTTTCATTCGTTTACTCACTTCGATCTTGATCTTCTAGATCTTTTCTTTTGATCTGATGACCCTTTTTCTGTATCAGTTTCACTATCGAATAGTTTATATTTTGATAGATCACCACCGTTGGAATCGTCATCGTCATCGTCATCGTCATCAGTATCTTCCTCACTTTCGTTGTCTTCTTGTTTTTCATTTTTCGGTCGTTTGCTGCTAATCCAAAATTCGAATTAAATAAAAGTAGAAATGTCGAATTATCATTTGTCTAGTTGTAAGTGGGCTTAGTACATGGAAATTTATTTCACTAACCTGCGACCACTTTCATTTCGACTGCTACTGGTTGAGTCGCCACGATGTGTCCTTTTTTCGTCGGGTTTCCTTTTCCGCCTCCCGAATTCATCATACTCATCGTCTGAATCTCGATGCTCTTTATATTCCACTACGCCACGATCATTATAGCCACCGCCATACCCTGTAATACGCCACATAAATTTAGAAAGCTCCAATCCATAAAATTTTTGAACAGATAATTTCAGACCTTGTTAGACTCACCAGTTCTTTCTTCAGCTTCAGACACTTTCGGTGCACTGCAAACATTGCAATTCTTTCGGCGTTGCCAGTTAACATTACTGCATCGACCACAAATCCAATCATCCGCACTGTTAACCATTAAAATAACAAAATTTATTGTGAGAATGTTTGGTCCAAAGCGACAAAAGTACGGCTGAGAGTTTATCTCTATATTATTGGCATTATTAAACTTCGTCCCTTTTGCACTAGCTAATATCCTATCTCGTTCGTTTATTAGTTGTTATTATTTCGAACAAGTATGTTAAATGTTAGTACCATTGCCTCAGCCATTAGTTCCCTACAAATTCACTAATTTGTCCGAAACGCATAGTTTTACTATCGCATAAAGTGGCTATCTACAATAAACAAGGTACACACGATGAAATGCTTTTCGAACAAATTTCATTTCACTTTTAATTAATATCGGACATTTTGTATAGCTTTTTGTCAGTATAGCGAAAATAAATTTGCGACCAACGAACGTGAGTGACTAAAATTCTTTTTTTTATTAGGTGTTGGATTTTTTTCTGGTCAAAATATCTCAGATCTGTGATGCAAATTGGTTGTGAACATTCAATTTAATAAAATCAATTATTTTTATGGTTATTTTGAGAAGTATTTTGTTGTGTAACCTATATGTCACACGGAAATATATTCAGTGGATTTTCATTCGTGCTAAAAAAAATCTCGAATTTAATGGTTGTGCACGATAGATTCGTTGAGTCATTAGATCCAAAAAAGCCGGCCTGTGACATCTCCGCTCCCTACTCCGAAATGATTGGAATTGATTGAATGTCGAAAACTACATTTGATAGTTCAGTCAAAATGCTCAAAAATAGTCTTCTACTATCGGCACCAATGTTTTTTTTGCACAATGATTGATGAATGATTCTTTTTAAATCAATTACCGACATCCATCGATTATAACATGAACAACATACACGATACTCACTTAAACAGACCACGCGATTTTTCAGCAGCTGCCTTTCCGATTTCAGTGCCATTCTTTTTCCGTCCACTTGAATCGTGTGAACGCTCTTTATCTCTTCCACATCGATTACATTGAGTGCGACGAGCAAAGTTAAGATTTTTACATCTGATTTCGTATCGATTGCGAATTACAGAATGTAGAAAATAATAGAAAATAAATAATCAACTATTTATGGTTTAAAAACTTGTTTAGCCTTTTTTTCAAAGCATCACATCAGATTTCCTTACTCGGTATTACTGCATATCCAGTCGCCGTTTACAATTTTCAGTGCACTTTTTACACTTTTGTTACCATCACCGTCTGAACTAGACATCCTTTGTTAGTTTCTTGATACCGCAGCTGTGAGCGAATTTAGAGGCGAGAAAATATTTGCACTATTCGTTTGAAACCAGATAAAATTTACCGGCTTGAACGGTAAGAACACAAAATATTCTACCAAAACCAATATTCATAGCAAAATTTTCATGGAATAAATATAGTGCGGATTTCGAGAATGCGCTGAACACTGAGATTCGACTATATTTGTTGACATTCAACACAAACATGGACATGAACATGTACACAAACACCGAACAGAATTGACAAATTGTCATACGGTAACACAAATACTCAAATGCAACGGAAAAAATCAGTACTCCCGAATTAAAATTATTATAAATAATTGTATTTGAAAAACTAAATGTTTTGGGCGCACAGTTACGTGTAAATTGAAAAATTATACAGTTTTTCAATTTTTTCCATGAATAAGGTAGACGTCTGGCGCTGAAATAACATAAAATACTTAAAATTATTCATACTAAAAACTAGTACTAAAAATGAGTACTTAAACGATGGAATCTATACACAATAATACTATGATGTCAAGAAAGTAGTAAACCAAAAATCTCGTTCATAAAATTCTATGAATTCAATTCACATTTAAGTTTCATGACGAAAAGTTGTAGCTGGTGTGTCAATAGGAAAAAAGTGAAAATTTATGCATTTTCAATGACAAAATCATAGAAATGTAGCAAATAAAAACATAATCTGGATAGACATAATAGCAAAAAAAAAATAATGAAAATACACGGTCAAATGTTTGAAGTGCAAATTCGACTAAAAACTAATTTATGAAAAACTTAATGGACGGACGTATTTTATTTCTTGATACGTATGTGAAATATATCAAATGTGGTGTATAAATAGACAAAACGAAAAATAAATAGAACAATTGAAGCAAAAAAAACCAATTATATATATATAAACAAGTTTCTTGTTAAATGGACATATTTTCAGAATTTGCTAATGATAAAGGAAAACGTGTTGTAAAATTTAGAAGCATTAAATGACCGAAAGTCAGAAGCGGGAATTTGCTACCAAACACTCCAGATAGATTTGGACTTAGTAGTGGCCTACGAAGTGTAGGGGAAAAAAGAGATAAATATTCGATTTGCAAACCACAAAATAACTCTTTGGCTGATGTCTTTACATGTTAAAAATGGTGAAGAAAGTGCTCTCGTCGGGGTGTACAATTAGGGCGTTTATTAATATATCGAATCATGACAGAGGAACATGAAGAGTAAGTCACCATTATGCATTTAATTATAAAGTGTTCTTATCCGATATTTCCATCAATACATTGACATATTTAGAGCTCGGCGACTTATATCAAAAGTAATCTGAATGAATTAAATGAATGAAATTTTGGCTGAATGAAATCGAATTGTGGAAAATTCCATTGCGAATAATGCAATTCTCTTCAAATCAAATCGCATTCTATTTTCAAAACATCGTTAATTTTTGATTTATCAAACATTTGGCAAATGAATTTATTCAACCTGCAATCTGTTTGAAGCAATTAAATATATGTAACAAATAAAGTGTAAACTTGATATAATTCTCATTTGAAACATTTTTATATAACATAACAAGTAGATTCTATATTGAACAAAGCGAAAAATACACGCTTTGGTCAATGCACCGGTGCATAATGTAAATACATCTTGGGAAATAATAATCATTCATAATGCTTGGTACCTGCCAATAATTCAAGTTCAAAAGTATAAGTGTTATATCTTAAGTGTTAATCTTAATATTAAATTTACATGAGATGAAGAAATAAAGTAGCAAACCATAAATTTAACAATAAACTGATAAAAATGCTACAGGAAATGTAATGAATATTGCATTGAAATGTATTTAATTTTAAACATGTAACAAATTAGTTTTGAAATCATCGATGGATTCAAAAAAAACCCAAGATATCTCAAGAAAAAGTATAAAATTATGATTTATAGCGTTCGTAGTATTTTCAATAAGGTTTTCACCAACCCTTAAAAAATCAAATCTGTTTAAGTTACAATTATTCAATGAATATAAATAAGGGAAAATCTATTAAGAATGGATCAAGACTGGCCGAATTTGGGTTTTTTACTTCGAATAAATTTGATTTGGTTCTGGTTTTATGAATGACTTGGGGTATGAATGCAACGTCATTCATGGTTTTATTTAGATCAAGGTTATAATGGTGAATGAACAGTATTAATCACCACCACCACCACTAAGAGTTCATTCATTCGCTTGGACACAGTGAACTAAGCCAAGTTAAATATGCAAAAACACTGGTCTGATTTTCTGAAAATTTCGTTACATATTGTTCAACAGTTGCAAATATTTGCTTTGGTAATCATTAGAGAGTTTATTGCTGTTCGTGCAGTGGTGTGTTCTGTAGTTAAGACGAAATTTCGAATGACAGGAATTGGAAGACGGAATATGTTGTATACATTTCATTCATAAACGTCCACTTTGAGTGAAAATATCTCGAGAGTAGCAGTGGTTATGTTTTCTTCAAACGTCATGAGCTAACAATATTTTTATAAAATATAATATATAGAAATCGACAAAATTTCGACTCAAAATTGAATTTCAGAACACAATGAGAGCTTTGATGTTCACGTTTAAATTCAATCGCGATTGTCTTACTGAGTACGTTCATGGGGACTTTTTGCGTGTTTTTTAAAAATAGATCGTTGAAACTATTGAAATAGATTTTTGTATTGCCTCAATTATTAAAAATGATTGCCAAAGTGGGCAAAATTTTACCAATATTCTGCTTCCTGTATCGTACATTATACCAATTTTTCAAGCTCACTTTATAATCACAGATATTTAATGTGTGCAACCAATAACCGTGGCTGAAGAACAGGCCAATAATAATTTATATGTATTTGGTTCTAGCATATATATCTGTCCTGGTGTTAACTAGTAGCATCGCCTGGGAAAAGTATGGAAAAGAGTCTAAGCTTTTATCTGGATAATTCTCGCATCAAATAATGAATGAGTCAAATGCAGACTGTAACCCAATGACCCAACGTCCAACATATGTATTCCGCAAGTTTCAAGGAAATACAATTTTTTTCTATCACTACTGACTGCGTTTAGTAGGTTGTTTCTCTTTTTTTTGTCAAGACCCAAAAAATATGTGTCTATGTGTATTCCTTTACTGTGTGCATAGAACGAGAGCAATATTTAGTTTAATGTAAATGAAGAAATTCCAAATTATTAATGAAAACCATTCTTAATTTGAAAATAATAATAAAGTTGTAATGTACTCAAATCCATTATCTCAAGCTGACATAAGTCCTTTGATGTCGTCAAAATTTGGCTCCAAATGTAATTTTTGTTGAATCGTATCCAGAACATGTGGGTTCAAATTTTGAATGAATTCTTATATACTCGATACACTCCAGCATATTTTATATTATGGAAGAAGTGTGTCAGTGAATTCGCATTCATAAAATCCCAACTTTCCTTTCAATGTATACGGTACAGAGACTCAGGCAAGAACATGAATGAAAAATCCACACGAAGCGCGAAGTCGACGCTTTTGCTTGGAATTGGACATATAATGTTTATAAGGTGCTGTATTGTTTGTATTCAGCAAAATCATCCACACTATTGCCACATTCTCGTTGAGATTCAGTTCCCTTCCTAGCACAAAGAGTCACTAATATTGAAAAAGCATTGTTAGCGTGAATACTCATTATATACATGTCCAACAATTTTTCCATTCCCCATTGCTTATTTACGAAAATAGGTCAACATAGATCAGACTTTTTTCTTACTCTTCAGCATATAAAGAGAAAGAGAGGTGCCCCGAAGAACACGGATACTGGATGCAACACATGTAATGAATGAATGAATGAATTTGCGCTCTCGTTCATGTAATGTTACAGTCATATCACAATATATAAAGTACAGCACAGTATTGTAGGAATCAAGAATGAACCCATACGTAACAAAATTCAGGAAAGTACGAAACCATATTCCATACAATACCTCCAATGGTTTTTCGTTTCTCTTTCCCTTTTTCCCACCATTCCCTTGTGTATTCCCTCTGTGTTGTGGTTATAAAAAGCTCAACGGTATCCAAAAATAGAATTGAACCCAGTGAATGTTTAATGTGTATTTGACTATTTTTCCATAGTTATTACGATAGCAGAAACACAAACACAAGCACACATATATAAACATACAGAAAAAAGTTGTATGAAGTGCTTTGCAGGAGTTTTAACATTTCGAAATACGTCACAGGCTCTATGTCATTCGTGTACCAGTTATACAAATTTGTCCACATATTTACCAATGCTCGAAGGAGTATATAAGCTGCAGCTCAAAAAAGCATCAGGAACGAAACATATTTATGACCCATGGATGTCATCCAACAGTAAATAGATACCCAATTGAAACGTTGACGTTAACCTACTTTTCGTATGTCTTTTCACTTGGAATCAAACATGTTCAGGAATATACATGGTACATAACTCACACACATGCAAAATTGTATGTATATATACATGTATATGTATGCATATATCCAAAATCTCGCCTCATTCATGAAAATTTTCATTATGTACACATTGATTCGATTTAATTCATGATTTCGGCTGTGCTTTCATGAACGTACCAAGTTCGGTTAATGCGTGAAGAGTGCTCAGACACGTTGCTTATAGAAAGCTCCCTATCAAAGGAAGAAATTGATGAAGAATGAATGAAATTCGGCAATAAACTATAAGTAACGAAAAAATTCGATGCCCTTACATGTCCTAAACCGTTTTCTCTATGGAAATAGTATACCTGGTCTACACTCAACCACTATACTGGCACCATGTTCATATGGTCTATACCAGGCGATGGATTTTGAAAAAAACCACCATGAAAAACTTTCATTTCGACTCATATTTCCATATCAATCAATGCAATACTTATGAAAGTCAAAATATTGTCACTTTGAATGACAAATTTTCTCGAAAATAAAAGATACAACAAGATGAATATTTTTTATACATCATATTTATACTATTCAACAATTTTTCGTCGATTGGATTTGTCTATATTAATCAAAATACATAACAAAATGCAAGTAGATATAGAAAATGCGATAGCTGTTATAGCTTAATACAAATATAGTCCACGGTAAAATAATTAAATTCGTGATGGTGTTAGTGCTTTGCCCCAAGCGAAGTGTCTGGTTGATAGAGAGCGTTTTGTATTTTTCTTGAAGAGATATGGGGCAATTGAAAAAAAGTCTATTATATGGTTTATTTGGCTTTATAAGAGCATATTAGGCAAATATCTCTTTAATAAAGAATCTTCATTGTTATATCATACTGAAAATATTCAAGAATTGTACGCTTAATCGTTTTTTTAATGGATTAATGATATAATATATTGTTTTTTTAGTGACTTTCTAGTTAAAGTTCGTGCACAGGTGATGACAAGAGATGAGAGTACGGAAGGCTGGTTACCTTTGGCTGGAGGTGGTTTAGCGAATGTATCCATTCGAAAACGAGCTAGATTACCTCCTGAAATTGGTGAGCATGAATATATTATTTATGGGCAGAGGATTTCCGATCAAACTGTGAGTAAAATTACTGGAAAATTTCATCCAACGAACAGTATTGATTTTAATTATTTTTATTCAAATGTTTAAAATAGATAATATTGAGCTGTGTTATCAATCGAGACCTTCAATATAACAAGGTAATGCCAACATTTCATCATTGGCGTGCTGGCAAGCAGCGCAACGGTCTCACATTTCAAACTGCAGCAGATGCTAGGGCATTCGATAAGGGTATTATTCGAGCTTACGATGAACTAATTGATGGTTTGTATTTGAATAAATTTAGTTCGATTTATTTTGCTCAATTGAACAAAAACTTTCATGTTAAATGTCATGCATTTGTAGGTTTGAATATGGTAAATTCATCCCAATGGCCCAAAATGAATACGTACAACACACAAAATACACAAATTGATGATGATGATGTGTTTATGGTAAGTTTTATTTGATGATGATTCAAATCATATAATTGAAAAAAATCACTATTATATATACAACTATCATTAGACACTCGACTTACCGCTTGAGCCGTCAGAATCGAGGTCATCGTCTGAAGGAAATGGAAGCCAAGGTAATTAATTCTATGTATAGGATTCATTCAAGATGATACAAATACAGTGAGATTTAGATAATTTCAATATTTCAAAAAATACTTATTCATAGAATATGTGGATTCGACTACTATAAATTAATGTCCATTTTAAGAGCTTAGGAGCTCTTGAAGCAGAGATAGTTTCAGGATATTAATCATTGAGAATATTCGAAATGCAAGTTTTGCAAAAAAAAAATCGCAAAAGTGGTACACTAATAAGATCGATTGAACTGTGATTGCAACAACAATCCTTTTGTTCCTCTTTTATGTAGTGGGTTTTCAATGTACTGCCTCTGTGAATTTTTTTTTGTCAAAACAAGAGAAGACTGAGCGCATGTACTGCACGATCACATGCACTTCCTAGAAGAGTCAGTAAGCGCACCAGCTCAACTTCGCGATCATTACTTTTGGGAATTTTTTTTCTTCTAAATATTTGATTTTTTAAAATTGTAATCTTTGCTACGGTGGGTAAAATATTGAAACCAAATGCAATTAACCAAAAGTGTAAAGTAAAGTAAAGTAAAGTAAAGTAAAGAAAAAAGAGAAAAACAACAAGTCAAGTGCTCGAATAAACCGCTCAGTCGTGAGCAAGTCAAATCTCGCGTTTATAAAACAAAATTGCGGCCAACAGTTATTCTCAGAGGTTTATTTTATTTTATTTTTATTGAGTATGAGGTGTGAATTACAGGAAAAAATCCCTTTTACAATTTATCACCTATAGTTTGTTTTTAAATTTTTGATAGTTACTTTGGTCAAAGAATTCAAAAATTTCAGTTAAAAAATAAGAAGAAAATTATTGAATTCTCGAAAATGAGTGGGTTAGAAATAATTAAATTCGGAATTTTTTATAAAAGAATGAAAAATAATCGAAATCAAATTCTATTTTCAATTGCATTTTTAAATTATACTTTGCTTAAAATGTCAATGTCGGTATATTTTCTATAATAGAGTAGTTGAGTTCGCATTGATGGATTGCGGTGTAGACCGTAGTCTGTTCTAGATGTATGGAGATTGAAAAGTTGATGCACCCTCATAGATTGACGGTTCACTCTCATAAATGGCCTGTTGGTACGGACCATATTTGCATCATGAACAATGTTGTGTAGGAGGCAAGCATCAAAGTATTCACGTCTTCCCTCCAATTCACTCATGTTTAATATTTCAAGTCTTTGTGAGTACGGTAGTGATTCATATTGGAGTTTAAAGAAGAGAATACGAGTATACTTTCTCTGCACTTTTTCAAGTTTATAAATGTATGTGCTCTGGTATGGGTTCCAGACTGCAGTGTTGTATTCAAGTCTGGTTCTGACAAGAGAGTTATATAGGAAGTTTACGCAGGACAGGTCACTGAACTTTGATGCAGTTCTCATTACAAAGTGCAGCATGCTATACGATTTTTTCACAATTGAATTACATACGGTAGTCCATATTATAATCAAGTCGAAGTTAGGTACAAATGTTGCTCATTATCACAGCGGACGACTATGGGCGCGCGTGATGAAAGTACCATTTGCACTGAAAATTTAATAACACAAATTCAACATGTTTGTAAATCAGTTAATTGCAATATTCCACTTGTTTGAAATTGTTTTCTCGTTTGTTTGTTTTTAATCTTCGTTGACTAGCTAGTGGATGTGGTGGAAGCGAACCAAGTGTTGGTGGCGCGGGAAATCTCTGGAATAAATCCGTAAGTTTTGGAGTTATTTAAGTTCGAACTTGGAACTAATCATACGATATGTTTTCCCTGTGATAAAATAGCAACGGCAACCGCAAAATGCACCACCGGCATCGGGAGAAAATTATTCTTATGTTCAATTGACAGCAGTGCATGAACCAGTAAAAGCATTACATGAACATCGACCGGAAACTGTTCAAACCGATTTCGATAGCGAACCGATTAATTTAATTCGTGCTGATGCCAAACGGGAATCATGCGCTAGTATTAAGAAACAATATCCGACTGATGCTACAACACAATCACATAAAGAGCTAGTGCACACCAAGCGAGTGCGCTGCAGGTATAAAATATCATCCGATTTACCACCCAAATGTAAAGCTGTCACTTTATGAAAATATTAATAATTATGTTATGTATACTTGTTTATTAACATATGTATTAATAAAATACCGAAAATTGACAGCTGTACCCAAATGTAGCCACATTTCCAGCGATTGTAGAGCGTATTTAAAAATGGTGTCAGAATCTAAAACTTGGTTCAATTTTTTTTATGTTCATATCCATTCGGCATACTCGCATTAGTGCGGCCAACGGAAGAATAAACAAAATTGACATGCCAAACGGATTTGAGCCCGAAAAATTATGGATAGAATCAGTTTTACCATCATTTCTACAATTGTTACATACGTATTTTGTATGCAATCTATAAGGGATTATATCTAGAGTAGATTATGTTTTTTATAGGATTTTATTTTGTGATGATTCTATTGGCGTTAAAATAGTATATGTTTTGGTTGTCGCAGTTTTTGACGGTTTTCGTGAAACTTATAAGAGATAAGAGACAAATGTCCCCAACAAAGTTATTGAGTACGACTAACTACTGAAGAGACCGAACTGTTATCTTTTATCAGGTACGCGAAAGGTGTGAAAAACCGTGACGACCCAAAATGAAAATACTCGTCTTTAATCATTTTTAAACTGAAAGAATCTTACTCTTCTCTTTCATAACAAAACCCGTGAAATATACGCTATTCTGAATCTCACCTATAGATATGAGTGTGCAGTGTGCACTGTGAACAGTGCGCAATTCACTGGAGCTTCTCAATAGCTATTAAATATTATTGTTTTCTTCTTAATAAATGTTCTTTCAGATACTGCCAAGAATTTTTCACTGAAGAATTTAATCGAAAAGGAGCTTGTGAGTTCGCACCTGACACATTTAAGGCTAGTCTAGAATATACAACAGCTATGAAATGTATGTAATGCATAATAAACATTAGAAGTTGCTTGCGTTAAGTTAAATTTATTGTTAACTATTCTATCATGTCAAATTATAAAGGTGCCCGATGTATGCTGTATCATTGTATGAGCGATTCAGAAGGTGAAATGCCGCAACATCCTTGCGAATGTGTACCTGAAGAAAGTGTCTGCTCAAAAAGGTGAGTTTTTGCCGCGAATCGAATTTTTGTTCCAATTACTGCTTATCATTATACTGAAACGACTTAAAAAATTTCTTTCAGATGGATCGGATTATTTCTATTATCTATGATATTCCCTTGTTTATGTTTCTATCCGGCTTGTCATCTATGTCATAAAATGGGTATATCATGTGGTATATGTGGTGGTAGACATAGGCCACAAATGTGAAATAAAACAAATTAAACGCATTTCACAATGTACCGCCGACTGAAATTCATTGATTCGGAATACATCTCTTCAAAGCAGATAGTTTTGGGAAGCAGAAAAAGTAAAACTCGAAGGCTGCGAAACAGCTGAGTTCTTATGAATAGTATAAAATCGGAGCTTGCTGTGAGCAAATCGCATGCATCAAAACAACACAAACACCAAGCGCATAACAATGAAAAAAGCACACCGGAAGCGCGATAAAAATCAAAGCAAAACAAAGCGAAGTAAGCACGACGACGAACACCGGACGATGTATCGTCTATGTGCATTCTCTTCTTCTGTACTTCACTCTGTTAGTTGTGTGTGGTTGCACACTTTTTGAGTGGCGGTCATAACGAACCGAACGGACAGCATGCTTCTGTATTTTCTATTACATTAGAGAATGCTGTCCGTCCGGGGCGTTATGACCGCCACTCCACTTTTTGCCCTTTCTTTAATCTGGCACTTTCGGTTGATGCATGCGACGTGATCTCAAAAAGATGAGTTTATACACTAAAAATGGAAACCTAGCTATTTCGCAATGACTGCAGGGCAATTAGTGACTATTTTTCAAACACACATCAAGAATAATTTATATTCATTATAACTAAGGCGGTCCAAAATAAAAAAAGTTCAACATTTTGTCGATTTCTGGGGCTTAATCGCTAATTTACCTCAAAGAACATCATTGACATAAGAAGGTAAGATAGGACCCTGTCAAAAACCTATTGCAAATGTAGTGAAAGAAACGTGTGTTTTCAAAAGCATCAATATATTGACAATTTGTAAATAATATTGTTGACTTTTCATTCAGATGCGACTTGGAAAATGTTTATTCTGCGTATGACTGGACAGTGCCCAGTGCACACTCAACTGCATACCATTTGCGTAATAGTCTTTCGATATGGTCTTATCTTACCTTTTTTGGCCAATAATATTTCTGTGGGTAAATTAGCGATCAAGATCCGAAATTCGACAAAGATAAAATTGTTGGTACTTTTTTTTACTTCGTACCAACCTAATATTTGCCGCAATAGTCCTGCGCATATATATATAATTCGAATAGATAAAAGACAAAATTAGAATCTCGAGGGCCATTTGAAATGCTTATTAATATCATTCATGACTATGATTTCACTTTTGTTTATATTTTTCCACAAAAAATTTCTCAAATCTGAATAACAAAAAAGGTTTGTGATCGGATATTTTCAATTTCGAAAAATGGAACGGTTCATGCGTTGAAATTCTATGTATAGGGTATATGTGACAACATGCATAGCTTTCATGTAACGAATGCAAACTGTTTGACATTATGCGAAAATGTAAGTTAATTATTAGTTTTTAAGCGGTCACTTAACCGACTATTTAACCAATTTATAAGTAAATTCCTGTAGATACCCATCTAATAATTATAAACCCAAATGCATCCGATTCCAGGCACATATCCGAGGTTGAATACGGGGATAGATTAAACCGTAGAAGTAACCGTCATAGTGATACAATTGTGCATGGAATGAATGGAGAAAAAATTGAATAAAATTAGCATCAATACATTCAATACATTCAATACTCTTATTTCAATTGAAAAACAAATCATTTACTTAGATAAGTACTTCTGACCTCTTTCGAGTCACGCCTACTATACCACAACAATCAGGCATAGCGGAAATAACATTACTGTTATATTTTAATTTTTAAATTATTCAATGTGAATGGCGTGAACGACGATGCATGATGCTTTTTAGTTGTTGACAGCAGATCGCTGGTTGTGTGGCCTCTGCAATGTTTCGGGTAACGTAATCCCAATCAAGTCAAACAGTGTCCTTGAAAATCATACAAGAAAACAATGAATGATATGTAAATAAAGCACTGCACCTCACAGGCAATTCAATCAATATATATGAGCATTTACTTTTGATCAGGATACATTTTGCAGCGGCAATGTTTGATTGATGTTCACTTATTCCGAAATTCCACTAGACCCATTTACTAGCCATGTTTTATGCTAGATCGCTACATTTGGGAGTAATCTGAGTTTAGTTGATCTGGATGTGGGACATCATTGCCAACCACTGGATTTTTGTTGCCCTCTTCCGCTTCTTTCTCGAGCAAAAACACTTTCAGCTTCTCTTCCCTCATCTTTCGTTTGTTGACTTTGCACACAATCATTGATGGTAGCATTGCTCGTACCAATTACGGCCGACAATCATGGCAGACTTTGAACAGATGTCGTTTCGTGCGTCGATCAAAACGGCCAAAGCACTTGGCACATGTTTGAGAAGTGAAATACTCGTCGAGCATATTAACCACACAACCAGGACACTTTTTGTGGCTCCGTATCATCTTTCGATTGCCCGGGCAACGCAGTGTCTTTTTGATGCCGATGGGTGAACTGGGTGACATTTGAGCAGCTCCGAAATGCATAAGTGATGGCTGATAGTTGGTCAAATTCCGGCTACGCTATCGGTCACACTGTTTGATTGAACGAACTTGTCCAAATTGAGTCTCGTGTATTTGTCTGTCGTATACACGGCAATGCCACTATCCGTCATTTTTAGTCGATGCCGAATTTAGTCCTTCCAGTGCCTACCCAATGGCGATGGCATCACCGGATAGAGCGCACGATTTTCACGATCCCGCCTCTCTTTCTTGACAAAGTCTTTGGTCCACCGCTTTCCCTGTCGATTTCGGACCTTTTGCTTCGTCCAGTAATGATACTGTTTGCTGCTGATCATGTAGTTCACCTAAGAAACGAAACAAAACGAAACAGAACAGAACAAAGAAAACCGTTTAGATAACAACGACAATGACAATGGCATAACTTCGGTTTATCAAATGAACAATGCATATATATTGTTTACCTCTTTGCCAGTTTCGGTGTTATGTACCGTTCTAGCATTCCACGTATTCACACCCGGATCAGTACCACCTTTATTGACAAACTTTCTGTAGTTTTGAACAATGGCATTTTTGTCATCTGGTTTCGATTCCGTTTTGTCAACATTAAATTGTAGCGATACGGCCTGTCCATTTGGGAGAATTCGGAAACGGAACTCTTTTCTGCTGCGACCAAGCCGATAGATTTTCAGCACATCGAATGTTTTCTGAACTCATCGTCTGTGATGTTAGTTGGTCCGATTTTCAGTTGACACAACAAAAAGTACAATGTCTTATTGTCCAATGTGTAGTGGATAAGAGTGGAACCACAAATGGGAATCAATGCCAGATTTTTCACTCTCGGCGGCCCTTTCTCGATGTACTCATTTTGGCCTCGATCAGTTGGCTGCTGGCAAGTACATGGACGGTGATTTCGACGTCGGCATCGTTTCAATACTTCATACTCTTCAAGTTGGCATCGGCGTACTTCACGATATTCGTCGCAGGTGTTGAATTCATCAATTTTCCGCTGGAAGGAAACAGAATGCGATGCTCTTGAACCAGTCCTTCTTTGTGAATCCGGCCGATGTTGTTGTGTGGTATGTCCAGACGTGTGCAAGGTCAAAATCCTAGAGGGAGGTAAAAAATTTGTCATTGGGTGTCGAAAAAAAGTAGAGACCTAAAAAAACCGGAACCCCCCTTGCACACGTCTGGGTATGTCCCACCAACTGTTCGCCGTGACCATTTCCATCAACAACGTTTGGCAACATCATCCATGCCATTGATTGTGATATCGTCTTTGCCATAAATTGCCAAACTAATCACACGGTTGATGTCGGCCTCTTTGTATCGAAACACCCAACGAAGATTCGAACCCTTTTACTTGCAAATATTCGCGCGTGCGTTTGGCGCTATGCGTCTTCAAGTTGTTCTTCGTGTTCGATATGTACGAATTTATTAAATCATTCATTCCGTTGCCGAAAAAGTCCGCGTTGGGCCAAACCACTCGATGGCCATCGTTCAGCTGATGCACCATTTCACGAAATTCCGGTAACATATCGTTCGTGTAGATATTATCTTCCAGGACACCAAAAAAACATGACCGAATCACCTTTTAGCCATTCTGTTCAAAAAATGCTTGGTCATTCTCGTCAAATGCGCGCCTACAACAGCACAGGAACAACTGCGAGGCAAGTAAGCAAATTTTCGTTGCCATTATTGATTTGTCGGTGATGGCTTTAATCAACAAGTCACCGTATTTCGGCTGAAGAATGGAACGTAACTGAGTTTTGACTGTTCTTATGCCCGAATCTTTGTCCTCCTCAATCTTGTCTGGAATCCAGACTCTGGATCAAGCATCACAATTGGCTTCGGCTTCTTTCTTGAATTTTCGCGCTCGAAACCCATCTGTAATTCAGGAGCAAGAAAAAAACAGAAAGAAAAATAAGTTGCAACTGTTGTGTTGCATAAAATGAAAGAAAACGTCTAAACACCAAACGAAAAATATGAGGAAAATTAATCGGATATGATGTATTTTCTACCCAAAAACATTGACTAAATTACTTAATTTGAAAAAAAAAAGAAAAAAAATCACTAATAAATCGAACTATATTCACAACAAATGACTTGCCTTTTCAAATGTTCAGATCAATATGAATGCGACCAGCGTCGATTTAGCACATCAAGTTGAATTTAGTTTGACAACTTTCCACAGCCGGTGATGAAATTCATGTTCAACTGGTGTCGACCGTAACGGAACCAAAGTAAACAAATGCAACACAAAGCCACAGTTACGAATGTGCCCGTTGTATTATTGACTCTGCATTTTCGTGCGACACAAATCGAAATTCTTGTAAGATGTTTGTTTATAGTTCGGTTGACACAGAGTAGTTGTTGGAATGGATGTCATTTCAAATGTTTGACAGAAGCTGGGTAGCGTTCCGAATATTCATGCAGTTGGTTTACACTGAAATTTTATTCTATTTTAACGAAAAGAAAGCCTAGAAACGTTACATCTTTTAACGTTAAAAACGACCAAATTGCGTTACATGTTTCCTGTAGACAAAGTTGAAAGAAAATAAATTTTTCTTGAATAGTTAAAGAAAAATGTATATCTTCTTACCGATGCCCAAATGTCTGTCATTATTCTAGTGAACAAAATTCCGTAATCCTGAGATACGAGATTTACGCTCACACATCAAATCACATTAATTCAAATGTCATACATCGATCGGGGGATACAGCCAACCAAACGCGATAGATGGTCAGCTACGGCTGACGCTCGTTATCCAGATAATTTGCGTGCCGTGAACGCATAGAGAACGCTCCGCTGACATTCCGTTTTTGTGACGTGCGATCCATCCAAATTCATGATAGAATCCATGAATTTGTTTGGATACCACGTCACAAAGTCAGAAAAATGAGGGTCTTTAGTTAGAAATTCAACAGACTTTCAGATTAAGAACTGAATTTGGGTTGAATAAGACAAAAAGACATAGAAATAATGCATTTCATTGCCGGACCCAAACTTTTGCACGGCACTATGTAGGGGAAGGTGGGGGAATTCGGAACACACATCGAAATAATTTAAAAGCATTCTAAAAAATTAACATTTTTCCAAATTCTAAAGTGGTACGACTTAGTCAATGTAAAGACCTAACTTTTGGCACTTGTCGCTTGTTGAAATTCGGATCGGTTGAAAAAATGTACCCTATATTGGCAAAAAACCCTTGATTTTGCGATTTTCAAAAATGGTGGGGAAATTCGGAACACTTCATAAATGGATAGAAAACTGAAACAATTTTGATGCAAAACGTTTATGGAGTACTTAGTGCTAGGAAAAGATAGAAGAATTAATTTTATTGTGGAAAAAGTTCAAAAATAGCGATTGTTGTTAGTCGGATCTGTAATTGTTGCCTGTGAAATAGCTACCGATCATTTTGATGCATTTCAAGTGGACAGCTCGATCGCATAGATTGCAATGAGTATTTTGTCAAAATGTTGCATGAAATATAATGAATATGCATAAAAAATGCGATATCAACTTGAAAAGTAATAAAAATCACTTGATCAATTTTTCGTATATAGGGCGTTCCGAAATTCCCCACTCACTAAGGTTTACAACATAATCGTGTTTTGGTCACTCAATGAATTTTCATGCGAAATTCCTTTTGTGAGTCGAAATATTAATGGTATACGATGATTATAAACATATTCGTCTGAATTGATTTTTGGAAAAATGTTATACAGGGTGATTCATAATTCCATGCTAATCTCTCTACGACAGATTCCTTGGCTCATGAGGAGATAAAATGTGTATGGACACTTTTCCGAATTCGGCCTCTATACCAAAGATTTGGCCGCCGGCCCATTTTTGGCAGCGCCGCCGTGCTTCTACGTCAAAAGCCATTGTGAGCCCATTTTTGGACATAAATGCATTTTTTTGGCTCATTGGAAAGATTGCGGCCCACTAGATCCTCTAATCCAAAAACGGTGAAAATGTTTGACTAAGGGGTTAAAATTAACCCATACCGGAAAGTATGGAAAAATGGTGAAAATAGTGAATTATTTCAAAATATGTAATGCGTTATTAAGGTATCGTTTTTTCATCACGGATCGAAAGATCGTAAAATTTTAGGCTGGTATGCCCATTTTCAGAAGCCGATTTTGCCGTTAACCCAAGAAAATTGC